TTTTAGAGGTTACTAGATATTTCGTATTAAACATGTAGCTGCTATATTAAAAATATTTTGTGGTGTGTTGTTGCATAACTGACTAATTTCCAAGCATCGAATAGACGAAGGAAGGAAGCGAAGGGACGAAGGAACGCGAGGAAGTAACGCAAGGAAGTAAGGCGAGGAAGGAGCGAAGTGTGAGTATGGGGCTTAACGGACACGTAATGGGAAGTATATCTCTTCTCGTAAAATATCTTAAATGAAACTATTCGAGAACACTTTAGTTTTTTTTTAAATTGATACGTGTATAAAAACCGTTGACGTTCTGTTAAAATACACACAACCAAACTTATACGGAATCTATTATTTTTCATAATTTTTGAGATGTATGAAAATTTTGTGTTTATGAATAAAACTCAGTCCTTACAAATGACTTTTAATTAAAAATAATCCATATAGCAATAAAAAAATTAATCAGTTCTCAAAATAAACAAAATGGTATTTTTTTGGTTTCTGAAACGAAATTAAAATTTAAATTTTTAATAGCCAAAAAGCATAAACAAAAAGAAAATCGATAATTTTAATATTCCTTGTTGCCACCTCTAGCCCTTATGCAAGCTTCTATCCGCGCTGGCATGCTTCTTATTAAATTATCAAAGTTGTCTTGGGGCATGTTTTCCCATTCTGCTAATGCTGCATCAATAAGCTCTGCGAGATTTCCTGGATTGTTTCGACGAGCTCTAACTCTTCTTTTGAGCTAGTCCCACAAGTGTTCGATAGGGTTTAGATCTGGTAAATAGGCAGGCCAATCCAAAACTATGACACCTTCCGTTTCAAGACACCAAATCAACATATCTCCGACCCGTTAAAATTTGTAGCAGTGGTAACAATGGAGTTTTTGCTCCCAGTATAATACCTCCCCAGAACATTACAGTACCTCCTTTATATTTTGGTACAGATTTGGCAGCCTGAAGTATCTCTCGTCTTCCTGGAGCTCTGAGAACCCGAATTCGATAGTTATCTGATCTTAGACCATTTCTGGTCTCATCCGAAAAAAGAACATTTGCCATTTCTAAGTTGTCCAGTTTTGATGTTGAAGGCATCAATTTAGCCGGTCAATTTTATTTTGCCGAGATAACTGTGGGATCCGTAACTCTCTCCTACTGTAAAACCCTCATGCACGAAGCCTTTTTCTTATGGGTTTCAACTGAAACGTTCACACTTGTAGCTGCCAGAAGTTGTCTTTTTAGCTCTGGATGAGAAACATTGAGATTTATTCTAGCAATTTAACACACAAGGCGGTCTTGTTGTTCAGTTGTGACTCTTTGACGACTTTGCCAGGGCCTATCCTTGTGTGTTGCTAATTCTAAGTACCTTGTATATGTTTTCGATACACCCTTGGTAACGCCTACTATCTCTGCTACGTCTCTCTGGAGCATTCCTTGTTCGGTAAGAGCAATAATTCTTCCCCTCTATACATCTGTTAATCCAACATAAGGCATTTTTTAATTTTTTTGGATTGAATGAAAATTACCGGACAATGGTGATTTTACTACTGAACGCAAAATTCAAAAGAAAATAAATCGCAGCAGTCGTTTATTCTTTTTTATCATTTTTATTTACAATAAAAAGCCGTATCTTAAAGTTGTATACCAATTTTTATCTTTGCAAGAAATTTAGTCAAAAATAAAGAATGATTCCATATATATAAGTAAAGAAAAAATTAAATTTCATTCTTATAGAGATTTTCGGAATTTTGATGAGACTGAGTTTAATAATGACTTGCGTAGATTGAGTTGGCAAAGAATATTTCATACTAATGATATTGATAGTAAAATTGATATTTTCACTAATTATATAATGGGTCTCTTTGAAAAACATGCCCCCTTTCGACGAGTAAGGTTGACAAAACCAAGAGCACCATGGTTTAGTACGGAACTTCGTCTTTTGAAAAAAGATCGTAACCGTGCCTTTAGTCGGTATAAAAAAACATTAAGTCTGGAGGATTATGCAGTTTATAAGAGAGCTAAAAATAAGTTTACACAAGAAGTGCGAAGAAGTAAATATGAATATCTCGAAAATACTCGAAAAAATCTCAGTAAGCGTGAAATATGGCAAGCACTTAATAATTTAAATGTACATAAGCGCAATAATACTAAAAAATTCCAGATAATCTTAAAGATGATGAACACAATAAATCGCCATTTTGTAGACTCTAGAGGCTCTGAAATGTGTGACTGATCCTGTTACTGTTAACCTTTACAATAATAACACATTAGCGCACGTGAAAAACATTTCAGTTTAATAGCATTAATGAAGCAGATCTGCTTGATGCCCTTGCTAGCATTAAATCCAATGCAGCAGGCTGCGATGGTATATCTCTATTAATGGTTAAATTGTGCTGTCCTTATATTGCCCCCTACCTTGCTCATATTTACAATTGCTGTTTAAATAATAGCTATTTTCCGATTAGTTGGAGAAATGCAATGATCATGCCCTTGCCAAAATCTCAATCCTACAAGTTTAAAAGACATTCGACCTATAAGTAAATTGCCAGTTTTATCAAAGATATTGGAAAAGTTGGTATATAGTCAAGTTTTAAATCATTTAACTAAACATAATTTGATCCCTGATTGCCAGTCAGGATTCAGGAGTAAATATGGTACTTCTGCCGTTTTAGCTAAAGTTTTGGATGATATATTAATAGAATTAGATACAGGTAAGGGTGCAAGTCTGCTTCTATTAGATTATACTAAGGCATTTGACACCTTTGGGGCATGACCTTTACTGGCAAAGCTTCATTATTACGGGTTTTCGGAAAATGTTGTGGAATTGGTTGGCAGTTATTTGTCTAATAGATGCCAGTGTGTAGTTCTCGATGAGGCTCAGTCGGATGCTTTACCGCTTTCTAGGGTGTATTTCAGGGTTCCATTTTGGGACGACTCTTGTTCCTTATTTACACCGCTGATTTGAAAAAATAATGTTGTGGGATTGCGAACTGCATCAATTTGCTGATGACACGCAAATATATGCAACTTACACTGCTGAAAATGCAGCAGCTGCTTTACAATAATATTAATTCTGCTCTTGAGAAAATAAGTAAATACTCATTGAATCATGGTCTTCAGTTGAATCTTGGCAAAACTCAAATGATTTGTTTTGGTAGGGTACTTAGCAAAGGGATTATCTGTTAAACTGAATAACGAAATAATCCATCCATTAAAAACTGTCAAGAATTTGGGTTTGGCTCTAGACTGTGATTTGATATTTCGAAATCATGTCAATTCGATTGTGCAGAAAAAGTTATACAGCATTGAGGGGATTGTATAGGGAATAAAAATATTATGAGTCAAGCATTGAAACGTAGCCTATGTGACAGTTTGGTTCTTAGCCATGCCAACTATGCTGACATTGTGTATGGACCTTTGTCTTTGACGTGCACCTCCTCTTCCAGAATACAGAAGATTCAAAATTCATGTGTACGTTTTATTTGTTCTCTGGATAGAGGGGAGCATATATCTCACCTTGGCTTAAAGAATTGAAGTGGCTTAATATGTATGAACGCCGTAGACTGCATTTGGCTACCTTTGTACACAAAGTAATTAAATTACAGACACCATTATATTTAAAATCTAAATTAAAAACTGCGCCAAACTGTTCATAGCAGAGACACTCCGAAATATTAACCAGTTATATCTACCTCAATATTAGACCTCTTTATATCGACGATCATTTACGTATTCTGCGGTCTCGTTATATAATTCCTGCCCAAGTGCTTTAATAGCTAAGTCCCTCGGTTCATTTAGATCGGGGTTCAGAGATTTATTATTCCATAATGTGAGTTGAGTATACTTTTTGAAGCCAGCCAACTATGCCTCTCCTTGGCTCTCTCTTCATCAACACCAATACATGCCTGTTGTCTTATGTTATTGCATAATGTACTTATAGGTATTAATTGTTCTCTATGTGTGCTCTATGTGTTACACTAATAGTTTTGTTAATGCTTTATATTTTTTATATTTTTTTGTATTTTTTCTGTTGTTTTTTTTTTGTTATTATATTTATACATTTGATATATTAATTTAAGATAAGGTAGTGGATATTGATATTATTTGTTAGGTTATACTGTAATGGTACTCGGTTAACTAAGCAGTTATTTACTGAAATTCGCCGAGGATTATTAAAATAAAGACATATTATTATTATTATTATATAAGTTTGGTTGTATGTATGTAGTTAAAGTCTCAGAGAAATAATCAGATTTGATTTTTTTCAATTTTTCGGTGCTTTTTGACGTCTATTCCGTTATTATAGTATCGATTTTTAAAAATATCACCTATCACTATTTATTTAGTACACTTTTTTCAGCGCCTTAAAATCACCATGGCGATACGAATGTGTGGAAGGATACTGCCAAAAAAGACCAATCACTAATGAGACTGAAAACACTGCCTTAAGTTTGCCAGCTTGCAGGTAATAATCAATGCAATTATTTTTTTTATATTAATTTCCTCTATTTTTCAATTGATTCTGTAGAATCTTCTGTGCGGATGCTGCAGCGATATGGCCCAAACCTACAGGAGATTTATCTGTAGGAAATTTCCTGACAGCCATCAACATCAACAGCATTGATATATTGGGTGCAAAATCTGAAAGTCCGATTTTCTCACTGGTCAGAGGAGCTTCTAAGATATTCAGAAAACAAATTGAAGTTCTGGTACCAAGGTAGGTCCGAAAATCTAAAAAATATGGCAAATTTTATCATAAATTTTAAATAAATCCATATTTTTGGGGAATATCTATCTAAAACTCATAGACCAGCAAGTATTTGCTGAGAAAACACTCACAAGTAGGTAATTTGCAAGTGGGCATACGTGGAAAAAACACGAGAAAACACACTTATTTAAAAAATTACTATTACGAGGGTTGTTTTTATATTTTGCATATAGACGTAGAAAAAAACAGTACATAACTTTTAAAAATATTATTTTTCGAAGTATTCCCAATGAAGAGAAATGCATTTTTACATCTGTTGGAACCAATTCTGAAAACAGTTACTTCACTTGCTTGTTGGTACCTTCAAAATTGCGTTTTTGAAGGCACTGACTGCATCTTCTGGGGACTGGAACATTTGACCACACATTTTTTATTCTTAATTTTTGGAAAAATAAAAAAGTCGTTAGAACTTATCGTCGGGACTGTATGGACCCAAGCAGCATTTGGACGTCGGGACAACGTTGTGTCACGCGACCAAACGTCGGGGCGCAACGTCGGCACAACCTCGTGCCAACCCTAGTCTGCACTAGTTTGGAGAATAATTTTTGGGTCGAAACGACGTTGGATACCGACGTTGGCTAGAAGCCTAATTTAGTACAATCTGCAACGTTGTTTAAAATCCTAATTCACAGAAATACAAATCTAATATGGCGTCTAAGTCGCGTTTTATCCTAAATTGGGATAATTGTAATTATAAAAATATTATTTTTATGGTTTAGTTAGAGACATATGTCAGATGGCAGTGAAGGAAAACAAAAAACAAAAGTATTTAAGTGTGGAGGATGTTTGAAGACATCATAATTATTGAAACACTTAACCGACTCTGTAACTCGTTACCCAAGGCAAAAAAAGTTAAACGCAAACAACTTTATTGATAAATGTATTGTTTCTACTTTGAAAAATACTAATGGGCCTTTAAAATTAAAGAAGTTTTAAAAATTTTCTTGAATTTTTTTTTAGTAAATGAGAATAATTCATTCGCAGTCGAAAAAATTGTTTCCGCGTGTTTTTTAGGGTCAAATATTTCAAGTTAATGTATTCAAAAAGCAGAAATTGCTATTTTAGAAACGAAACATTTTCTTATTTAACAACATGGCGGCTTGCACTTTGTTGTTTTGGAGATTAAGATGGAGTAGTTCGAGTAGTCGCATACTGGTCTAATAAAGTCGCAGTTCGGCCTTAATAATAGGTAGTATACTAGTCGCAAGATTGCCTAATTTAGTCATCCTAGAGTCTAGCTTGTGCCGCCCTCTATAATCTAAATAAACGAGGGAGTGGATAAACTATCGGTAATATATGTCGATGTATATTTAAATTTAGTTTTATATGTACCTTTCTTATGTCCCATTTTAATTAATTTTTTTTTTATAAAAACAAAAACAGCACTGAACTATCTGACTGAACAGAACAATGAAGTGAAAATTTAAGATTTAAGGTTATGGTTCAATACAGTTGCAAAAATGTAGTGACCCGACGTCCTACCAACGTAAGAATAAGGAAATCTAAACAACGTTGGAATTAGTAAAACAGACGACGTTTGCATAACGTTGGAATAGGTCCTGAAACTGACATCGGAAAACTCTATATTGTCCAACGTTGTAGCTACGTTCTAAAGATCACTTAAGCAAAAAAGATTACAAGACAACGTTTATTCGACGTCGCAGAAGCTTTTACTTTGTTGTAGTACTAGTTCAACGTCGGCACAACTTCACAACAACGTTTACATTTATTTTAATACCCAAGGTACGGAGCTAACTATTTTTTGTAACTAATCCAACGTTGTGTTTAGTAAACATGTGGTCGCAAGTCGTGAAAATGCTACTTGGGGAGGATTGTCCAACAATTCAATGGTTTCTTGCTTTAAAGACTCAAATGTTTTTCGAGTTGTGTGGGAATTTCCATTGCCTTGGTGAAGGATTTTTCGTCGTTGAGGGTTGCTTTTTGGAAACTCAGCAATTATTCCGGCAAACAACTAGATAACCACCAATCAGCAGCAACAGTTCTTTGATCTTGCAGAGGAATTGTTGCTACACGACCCGCTTTTGAGACAAATGTCGCCACCATTTTTTTGGAAACACTTCGAGAACGGATAACTTTCGTCGATTTTGGTTCATCTCGGAACATCCAAACATCCAACTGACGTTTATTTTCGGGTTCATAAGAGTAAATCCAGGATTCATCACCATTGAGTTTCCTGCGTTAAACCGGTGGTGTAGAGTTTTTTGACACCAATTGACTCTAATTATTGCTTTCTGTTCTTCCGTCAACAGATACGGTATTCAACGAGAAACTCATTTTTTTACTCATAATTCTTCATGTAAAATTTTAGAATAGAATAGAATAGAATAGAATAGAATAATTTATTGATGTCAATACCATACAAATAGTGGCGTACATAAGTCAAAATATAAAATAAAATACATATATAAAACACAATTAACTTAAAAATTAACACAAAAGACAAAGTTAAAACCATCATATTAGATGGGTATACAATGACAGTTATATATTCTAGTTAATACATTTTAATATAAATATAGGGGGTGGAGTTTCCAGAATCTCTAATATTCTAGTTGTAGAAGGAGTTTCCATCAAGTGAGATTAATATGTATATCACTTGAAAGAAACTCCGTCGTGTCATACAGTGGATTTTCAAGTAACCAGCCACGAACCCTGCCTTTAAACACCTTATCGGACAATAGTTTATACCCATCCGGGAGTTTATTGTAAAACTTCACACCCCAGTATCTAGGTCCATCTCGAGACCTTTCATCCATGCGTATAGGGATACTGAGGTGCTCCGCCCTACGAGTGTCATGTGAGAGCCGTGCTGAGCATTTGTGGGATATTTTTCCGTATTGGCTTTTTAAACAATATATAATAATAGATTTTCCAATATATAAAGATTTGGGAGAGTAAGTATATTTAACATTTTAAAGGTTTCCTGCAATCATCCCTGTAGCCCAATCCTCCGACAACTCTCAGTCTCCTCCTCTGAAGCGCGAAAACCCTGCGCCACTGAGGTGCGTGACCCCAAGCCAAAACAGCGTAGGACATCACAGAATGAAAAAGAGCGTAGTAAGCCGTCCGCAATACGCAACAGGAAACAGTACCTGACAAATACACGCAGAACGAAGAGCGCGCTTCTTAGCTTCTGCATAGTTGCCTCAATATGAGCATTTCTATCTCATTTCACTGTCCAACTGAACCCCTAAAATGGAACAGATTCCCTGGAGAAGTTGACGAGTCCTCAAGGGCACTCCTCAAAGAAAAAATTACACGATTTGTTTTGGCCTCATTTAAAACTAGGTTATTTTTCCCGAACCAGTCAGCCGCCCTCGCTTGAGCGTCATCCGCGCGTCCCCCTAGGTCTTTTAGTTCTTTCCTCTGACCGAGACCGCTGTATCATCTGCGAATAAAACGTAGTGTCGTCAACGTCGGATATGTGGTAAGTTGTTTATATAAATCAAAAAAGTAAAGGGCCCAGTACTGAGCCTTGTGGGACACCATTTTTAAGAGGTCTTGGGTTCGACCACAGCCACCATCAACGACCACTCTCTGTATTCTGTCCTCCATGTAGGATTTCAAAGGGGCAACATCACCCTCACTAAAATTATAATAGTCGAGTTTTTTAATGAGTAACTCGTGAGACACACAATCGAAGGCTTTACTTACGAATCGCAAAATACCGCGCCAACATGTTCCCTACCCTCAATGCCCTCCAAGATGAATGACACGAGGTCCAGAATAGTCAGCACAGTACAGTGCGTTGGTGTCCTGACCTGAAGCCGAACTGTTGGTCGTTCAGCAATAAATTATCTTCAAGGAATAACGCCATTCTTGAGGCCATACATTTCTCAATGATTTTTGAAAAACAGGAAGCAGTGAAATCGGACGATAATTAGATATATCATTCTTGTCCCCCTTTTTGAATACGGGTACAACAACAGCCTCCTTGAGACAACATGGAAAAATGCATTCCCTAAAGCACAAATTAATTATTTTTGTTAGCGGTATAAGGATAAGCTCCCTTATCATCTTTATAATCCACACTGAACCCAAATTTGTCACGCGAATCTTTATTTTTTAAATAAAGATTCGCTTTATATATAAAGATTTTATGAATTGTGGTCTTTGAAATGCCCAATGATGCTTCAATTTCATGATATATGATATGCTGATCTTCTTGGATCAGCTTACTTACAGCATCGACGTTTTCCTGGATGACTGCCGTTGTCGGTGGGCCTGTTCTTGGATCATCGCTAAAACTAATCCATCCACGTTTAAATCCTTCATATACCAGCCAGAAATAGTCGACTGATGTGGTGCTTAATTGCCGAAAACATAAACCAACTCGGCAAGGCATTCTTGTTGAGCCAACTGCCTCCAGAAATTGTAGAAAAATATTGCGTGAAAATTTTCTCGTCTACTTCAAAAATTCAGTGCAAAGTACAGGTTTAAACCTTTGAATAAGAAGACTAAGGAAGGAGCATATCAAAAATCTTAGGTACCCCGCGATGGGCCTCAAATATGGCCGACTTAAATTCCGGTTTATCAGTGTCGTTCTAATTTTATGTAAAAAATGTAAAACTATGATGTAGGGTAGACGTGGGGTAGACTCAATAATTTGTTGTTTTATTTTACGTTGTGAATAAATGTTGGTAGTTATTAAAATTGTTATAAAATATATAATTCTAATAAAAATAGATAAGTTATAATAAGTATTTATTACCACAAACATCCGATACGCTACTGAAGCAGGTAAGTCAAATTAACGTATCTAAATTCTTTGACATCTAATCTTTGACAAGTAATAAAAAAAAGCTAAAATGCAAGAAAAAATATATAATTTAGTTAATTTAAGTGAATTTCATAAATGATCGGTTTACTACACGTATGTATATTATATAGTCACTTACTAGCGAAAAGTTGTTCCATTATTTCACTCAATTTTTGCCGAGATCTACCGCACGCTACACAACCAACTATTTTAGAGTCTTTTTCGATAAATCGCGATACCTAGTGTCACTGTTAATTTAAGTGCTGCCACAATTTCCATCTAGATTTACTACCTTTATACAACTATCAGTAGTAGAATAAATAATAAATAACATAAAATAAGCTCCGTAAAGACTGACAAATCCACAAAATTTCAGATCAAATTCAAATGTGTCAAATGAATCGTCAAACAGAACTGTCAATGATCCCCACCCTAGAGAGCTTTTATGGTGCTTTTTCCGCCCACCATGCATGAATACATGGATAGCATTATGCTCCTTCCTTAGTCTTCTTATTCAAAGGTTTAAACGAAGCGGTCTAAAACTTTGGCGTTAAGTTAACTAAAGATGACAGTTAATTTTTTGACATTTGATATATTATGTTGACAGGCGCCTACTATGTTTCTATATGCAAAATATAAAAAACAACCTTCGTATTTTATATATTATGTTATAATGAGGTATAGAAGACAATAACTGATTTAATAATTGTTTCAGGAATGTCGTACCCAAAGGAGGAAAATCTTTAGTCGTCACTTTGGACATTAAAAATTCCAATATCGATCAATTCAGTTTAGACTTAGATGAAAGTTACACGCTAAAAGTTTCTGAATCTTCAGGTAAAATACTATCCCATCAAAACTATAAAATGTAAAAAATGCCGAATTTCGCAAGGCATTTCCTTCCACTACAAAAAGTTATTAACTAATTATAATTAATAAATAAAGATGTGTAATATTGGCATGGCCACTATAAACGTTGTTGATAGGTAACTGATTAGCTATTGTCCACAAAAACGGTGTCGCGTTAGCTTAGAAATGACGATCGATGATATTCTCCATATAAGTTCACACATATAGCAGCGATCTTCATTTCTAAGCCATCTCTGACGCCGTTTTTTTTCGTTAGTATTGTATAAAGTGTTAATCTCGATTTTCAATAAATTTTAGATGGTCGAGTTCAAGCTTTAGTAACCGCACCAAATTTTTTCGGTGCTAGACATGGGCTGGAAACGTTGAATCAACTGATAATTTTTGACGATTTAAGGGACGAATTGCAAATTGCCAGAGATGTCCTCATCACCGATAAACCTGCATATCACTATCGAGGAATTCTACTAGATACTTCCAGAAATTTTATAACGGTAACCGAAAAGAAAACAATAAACTTTCGAATTAAAATGACATAAAACAACTGTCACTCTCATGCACTCTATATTTGAACAGACTATAGCAACCCTTAAAATGATATTAATGATAAATATTTACTAATTTTGGTTCCTTTAACGAAATCGCACGAGAATAACTATACCGTATGATCGAAAAAAAAAAACAGCGCCAAAGACAGCTGCTGGGAAATGAAAATCAATGATAATTTTCGCGAGGTTAATCTCTAGACGTCATTTACTAAAAATTGAAACAAAACTTGTCAAAAATTAACACTAATTATAAAAAGGCAACTCTATTTCTAAAAAAACATTTTTTCTCGAGTTTCAAACTACACCATTTAAAAATCATTTTTAAATTATTATTTATTAATCCCATAACGTCGTTTTTTTTTCGATCGTATGGTATATACAACGTCTTGTTTAAATTTATTGTTTACTTTCAGGTTGAAAGCATCAAGAAGACTCTAACGGCAATGGGAGCAGCAAAGCTAAATACTTTTCACTGGCATATTACTGACTCTCATAGTTTTCCTTATGTGTCCAAATCACGACCGGAACTATCCAAATATGGCGCTTATTCTGCGAATAAGGTGTACACTGCTCAAGATGTCCAAGAGATTATCCAATATGGCAAAGAAAGGTAAATCACTTGATGATATTAATCTATACTAATCATAGATTTAGGAAGAACAGATATCACATTATGCATTTTAACCCGATCAAACATTTGGAGGTTGACTACGTACTGTAAAAATCAACTGAGATAGAGAAGGCGACATTGCCACATATCAAATTTGCGCCTATCTACTTAGTTTGATTTGCAGAAAAGGTGACTTTAAAACTTTCACCGGATATCAATAAATCTCAATTTCTTAATTAAATTAATAGTTTATTCTTAAAGAAGCATGCGTAATAATATGGTTATTAACCAGAGGATATATGTGTTACTATTAAAGGACATGTTTACTACTGTTTAATGCTGAAACGTTCAGAACTATTGGCAACGTCGCTGCTAGTCTTCCAGAATGAAATGAGCCGTCCGTCCCACCACACCTCGCGACGGCCCTGGTACGTTATAGTAGCGTACTACGTTTAGCTTACGGTGTGTTTGAAGTCGGAATCAAGTCCGAAGTGAACTTTTCAGTGTTTTTCAGTAGTTTTTGTTTTTGTTTAACGTACTTTTGAATCTGAGAATTTTCAATATGGTACGACAGTGTCAAATGTGTGGACAAATAAGCTCAAATTACCCGAATTTGTCTTTTTCAGGTAGGTATTGTTTCCGCCGCGCCGTAATCGTACATAGGCGTCCCAATAACGGAGCCTCTCACAATTAAAATAATTTCTAATTATATTTGCTTGAATTTTGATCTATTAAAACAAGAACGTAGTAGCCGGTAATTGAATTATAATTGTCTCACTACTACCTAACTGTTGTAGATCATAAATAACAAATTTGAATATAAACGTTACATTTGAAACTTTATTATAAGCCAGAAAGTGACATTTTTTTCTTAAAATTGCGTCCTATTTTGGTCATTATATACGATATTCTAAAAGAATTTTGCTCAATAAATAAACAAAGGTGTTTACTCGACCTTTTTTACATTTTATTGCTTTATTATATCTGTCTCTTCGGCCTTGTTTAGATAATTTTTTACCACCGGACAAATACATCTTCCTAGCGTTATTTGTACGGTGTGTTTAACTTTTTTTAGAATGGGACGAACTGTAAATAATTCTTAGTTTTATGCATACCTATATAGAGAGCGACCCAGGCCTCCAAAAAAGCTTTTTACCTATTACGTTTTTGGCTTGTGATTTTTATTTCAATTTTTTACATAAGATGGGGGCCATTGTAACACACATTTTCAAAATATTTTTGTCAACATACAGGGTGATTCAAACCGTAATACATATGCTTAATACAGTTCATGAAGATTAGGACATTTAACTAAAATTTGATTATCTGATGAAGCTACCTTTAAAAAGTAATGGATTTGTAAATAAACGTAATAGGTATTCATTATTATGACAGAAATCCCATACTGTAGCACACAGATTTTATACTTTTATGATAAATGCCTTCTATTGCGAGACTAAAAGGCAATTGCCTCGTATCAGAGCCATCATAATACAAGAAGAAGACCGAAAGAGTCAAATCTTGTCTTATATTTTCAAAAAAAACACAATATAAAGTAAATATTGATTTTAGGTATAGGAAGTTATTAATAAGACAAGATTAAACAACTGTTACACAGTACTTCACAGGAAGCTATCGATTGCGAACCAACTAAATCGTTACTAATTCGGTACTAATTTTGAAAAGTTCTTTTTAAGATAAAAAAAGGTAAAACTAAAACCTAAACTATCATTTGAGATTAAACGGGAAGTTCTAAATAATGTTACCTAATCTAAACAAGAAAAATTTATTTATAAGTTAAGTTTTATAACATTCCTAATTAAATTTGGGCGAAAAGAATATTTCTGTTTGCTGTAGGTAATTTTCTCAGGGAAAAAATAAAAATGTATGTATTACGTAAATAAAAATGACTTTTTAAGTAAAAAAAAATCAAAAGGACAAGTTATTCTAAAAAAGGACTGTCCTTTTCAAAAAAGGACAAGTGGCAACCCTAGGTATTTCTGGAATGGAAATTTAATGGCAAATCTACAACTTTGGTTTGAAAATATGTTCCGGCCACCTATGTTTACAAAAATGTCTAAAATGTGCTTAAATTCCTCCATATTCTGAAAAAAAAATTGAAAGAAAAGTCACCAACCACAAACCTAATATAGAACTATTTCGGAAGCCTGAGTCACCCTGTAAATATTCAAAAGTAACTGAAAGTTTATATAAGAGTAACTGAAAGTTTAAATTGAAAATTGACGTTGGAGCGATTTTCGAAAACTACTAACGTTTCAACATAAGTATATGTGGGATATTAATTGTATTATTATATTAGACCTTATAACAAAACTCATCTGACGAAAAAGTGTTAATGTAGTATATTAATATGGAGTAAAAATTTTACTAATTACTTTATTTTTACTTTACTAATTCGTTCCAAAAAACGATACGCCACTGGCCATTAGAACAATCCAAATGTGCCTAGTTGCCGGGGTCGGAAATTTTAGACTTCTCTGTCTCTTCTGTCCTTGTTTGACACATTGGAATGTTTGATACACTACCAACGAGTATTTATGAATGAGATGTTCGGTCTATCTTTATAATGTCTTTGATACTAATATATAAAATCCTTAAGTAATCCTTAAGTAAAGTAACATACTGATTAATCACGATCCTGCTCGAACCACTCAACGTAAGAAGCTCAATTTTGGCATACAGGTTGATTCTAGGGTGTAGAGGTTCGATAAGAAGGGATTTTTCGAAACTCCAGTTCCAAGAGGGTGAAACCACCCCTCAAATATTACAATATTTTTTATTTAAAAAACGATCAAGTTTCCGAAAAAATGCTTAAACTTTTTAATTTTTTTTAAAAATGTATACAGGGTGTTTCGAAAAATCTGGTCATTGATTAATCACGATCCTGCTTAAAGCGCTTGATGTAAAAAAGCTATATTTTATTTTGCTGTTTTACATATTTTAAGATTTTTTAAAAATTTATACAGGGTATTTAATAAAATATGACCATTGAGAAATCACGATTCTACTTAAACTGCTTGACGTTTAAAGCTGATTTTTGGCAAACGGATTTTTGGAAAGTCAAATTCCAACGAGATGAAACTACCCCTCAAATATTACCAATTTATATAATAATATCGCCATATTGTTTTTTTCTCATGCTGACATAAATGTGAGAAAATTTTATCCAGTTTGTATGTTAATGGAAATTCTTGCTTTGCTTTATCATCACCATTACAAATGATTAATTCGACGCGAACGAAGTCGCTGGTACGCCCTAGTAACACATATAACGGGTATTATTAAAATATGCTTTGCTCATCAAAGGGAACCAAACAATATTACTTTAGGAGTGTAGAATAACCTAAAAAATATAAATGGATTTCAGGGGTGTGAGGGTACTGCCCGAATTTGATGCTCCAGCTCACGTAGGAGAGGGCTGGCAGAACACCAACTTAGTAACATGCTTCAACTGGCAACCCTGGCAGGACTACTGTGTCGAGCCACCGTGTGGCCAATTTGACGTCACTAAGCCAGAATTGTATGACGTAATTGCAGGTCAGTACATATAAGTTTTATTTATTCAAAGAATAACGCGTCTTGATTTTAATATGCCACTATACATGGAGAGTATTAAATAAGAGCAAATATTTTTAGGGGTTGTATACCGGGTGCGTCTCAAAAGTGGCTCACCCCTATAACTTTTTTAGTTTTTCAGATAAAACAACGACATTTGGTATGTTAGTATATGACATAAATTGGGATTGATTGACGTATTCAATTGTTTTCGGTTACTTCCTGTTTCACCGGAAATGACTACAACTTTTGATTTTTAAATGCCACCCTCGGTATTTTTTTACTTTATTCGATAGAAAATGACACTCTCCATCGAATGACATATCATGTAGTCACTCAAAAACAAATTATATTTTAAATTTCAATCTAGAGTGTCATGGCTGTGTTAAAAACACTAAATTTTAATCAAGGAGCCTTGGAAAAATAGATTTGATCATCTAATGTTTTTAGTGTCTTGTCCTGGTCGGTTAAAAGATGCCCAAATCGTATTTTTAATCATATCCTAATTTTTTCAAAGGGAACAAGGGTGGCTCGTAAGCATATTTGGAAAAGGCATTTTTTTACGAATAATTTGATACCACACACTTGGTTTTCAATCAAATTGTCATTATGAACCGCATGTTATCAAAAGTTGACATATGATATGTAATTCGATTCAGAATGTCATTTTCTATCGAATAAAGTAAAAAAATACCGAGGGTGCCATTTAAAAATCAAAAGTTACAGTAATTTCCGTTGAAACCGGAAGTGACTGAAAACAATTGAATACGTCAATCAATCCCAATTTATGTCATATACTAACATACCAAATATCGTTGTTTTATAAGGAAAAATAAAAAAGTTGTAGGGATGAGAAACTTTTGAGACGCACCCGGTATTTCGACCCCAGAAACACGTTTTTATGAGGTTTTTACGCAAAAAATAAAAATTTTAAAATTTGGAGTTTTTCTGAAAAACATTGGAATAAAAAAATAGGTAAAAATATTATTTCTTGATAATATGACAACATCCCAAGCAGCATTTGGACGTCGGGACAACGTTGTGTCACGCGACCAAACGTCGGGGCGCAACGTCGTCACAACCTCTTGCCAACCCTAGTCTGCACTAGTTTGGAGAATAATTTTTGGGTCGAAACGACGTTGATACCGACGTTGGCTAGAATTTAGTACAAACTGCAACGTTTAAAATCCTAATTCACAGAAAGACAAAACTAATATGGCGTCTAAGTTGCGTTTTATCCTAAATTGGGATAATTATAGTAAAAATATTATTTTATAGGATTTACTTAGAGACATATGTCAGATGGCAGTGAAGGAAAACAAAACAAAAGTTTTAAGTGGAGGATGTTTGGAAGATCATAATTATTGGCTGAAACACTTTAACTGACTCTGTAACTCGTTACCTAGGCAAAAAAGTTAAACGCAACAACTTTATTGATAACTGTATTGTTTCTACTTTGAAAATACTAATGGGCCTTAAAATAAAAGAAGTTTTAAAAAAAAATTTTCTTGAATTTTTTTTAGTAAAATGAGAATAATTTATTTGCAGTCGAAAAAAATTGTTTCCGCGTTTTTTAGGGTCAAATATTTCAAGTTTTCAAAAAGCAGGAATTGCTATTTTAGGAACGAAACATTTTCTTATTTAACAACATGGCGGCTTTCACTTTGTTGTTGTTTTGGAGATTGTATGGAAAAGTTCTTCGAGTAGTCGCATACTGGAATAATAAAGTCGCAGTTCGGTCTTACCAGGTAGTATACTAGTCGCTAGATTGCCTAATTTAGTCATCCTAGAGTTAGCTTCGAGCCGCCCTCCATAATCTAAATAAACGAGTGAGTGGATAAACTATCGGTAATATATTATGTCGGATGGTTTAAATCTACCCTTTCTTATGTCCCATTTTAATTAAGTTTTATAAAAACAAAACAGCACTGAACTGTCTGACTGAACAGAACAATGAAGTGAAATTTAAGATTTAAGGTTATGGTACAATACAGTTGCAAAAAGCTAGTGACTCGACGTCCTACCAACGTAAGAATAAGAAATCTAAACAACGTTGGAATTAGTAAAACAGACGCATGCTTGCATAACGTTGAATAGAACCGAAAAACCGAGTCGGAATTCTATATTGTCCAACGTTGTAACTACGCTGTCCGAATCACATAAAGATCACTTAAGCAAAAATGTTTACAAGACAACGTTTATTCGACGTCGCAGAAGCTTGTACTTTGCTGTAGTACTAGTCCAACGTCGGCACAACGTTATAAAAAACGTTAAATTTATTTTTAATACCCAAGGTATTTTCAATTATTTTTGTAACTAATCCAACGTGTTCAGTAAACAAGGCGTGGTCAAGTCGTAAAAATGCTGGGCCTACGTAGATTAAATTTATGAGAAAGAAAAACCTGCAGAAAAGCAAACCAGTGGTTTCAAAATTTAAACAAAAAAAAAACTTTTTTGGAAATTTTCATTTTTTTTTTTTTTTTTTTTTTATTTTTTATTTGAAAACGGTCATGAGAAAATATGGTTCTTTTATCGATATCTACCAGCTCTTCTGAAAATAGTTGCACCTTTTTAAGACTCACCCTGTATAGTAACTTTTCGTTTTCGGGTTTTTAGGTTTTATCTTTTAATTAAAACGAATTAATTAGTTCTCTAATATTATTATTACTTGCGTTATATACTTAAAAATTTAAGAAATAATTTATTATTTAGATATCTACAACGACATGTTCGATCAGTTCCAACCGGACATCTTCCATATGGGCGGAGACGAGGTAAACTTTAACTGTTGGAACAACACAAAATCCATCGTCGAATGGATGGCTAAAAAAGGCTGGGGTCGCACAGAAGCTGACTTTATCAAGCTGTGGGATCATTTCCAAAGCCAGGCTTTAGAAAAAGTCTACAAAAAGGTAATGACAATGAAAAAAAATTGAAAACAAAAAAAAATTAAAAGTTTTTGAGAATTTTTTTTTTATATATTAATACAAACATTTATTAGGCTGGCAAAACTATTCCGGTGATAATGTGGACCAGTCACCTCACTCACAAGGAATACCTGCTCGAGTATTTACCAAAAGACAAGTACATCGTTCAGATCTGGACAACTGGCCATGACGAAATCGTCAAAAACTTGCTGAAGAACGATTACAAAGTGATCCTGAGCAACTACGACGCCCTGTATCTGGACTGCGGATTCGCCGGATGGGTCACTGACGGAAATAACTGGTGCTCGCCGTACATCGGATGGCAAAAAGTCTACGAGAACACACCTCTAAAGATCGCAGGTACGACAGAAAAATCATTATAGAGACGTTGTTATTTAATGACCTATTATTTAGCAATAACAGTTCGCAACATTTGTTACTTTACACAGACCCAATCATCCTATATCTGTGATCTCTAGAGACGTTCCTATCTAATGATCTGATGCTCTTTAACTGTTATTTAGAAATAACAGTTCGCAATTCTTGTTATTTTCAAAAAATAACATGAATGAAAATAAGTATACAGACCTGACCATTCTAAATCCGTGTTATTTTCTTGTTTATCTGTTATTTTCTAACTGTTATTTAGAAATAACAGTTCGCGGTAGTTGTTACTTCCAACAAATAACAGGCATGAAAATGAATATAATACAGAGACCTGATCATCCTAAATCTGCAGTATAGGGAGACATTACTTAATAATCTGTTATTTATTAATAGTTCGCAAGCCTGGATTTAAAAAAAAAAAAAAAAAAAGAATAATAATTTAAAATGAAAATAATAATATAATTTTTTTAAAATTTTGAGAATAAATATACAGACTGTAGGTCGTCCTAAAACGGTGATCTATAGAGACTCTGTTATTTAATTACCTGTTATTTAGAAATAAAACAGTTAGCAACATTTTCAAAAATTTTTTTTTTAATACATTTTTTATTATACTTTACTTAATGCTCTGTTATTTCCCAACTGTTATTTAAAAAAAAAAAAAAAAAAAAAAAAAACTGTTATTTAAAATAACAGTTAAAATAACAATAAAAAAAAAAAAAAAAAAAAAAAAAAAAAATAATTATATAATTTTCTCATCATAAATTAGTGGACTATAGAGAGGTTATTATTTAATGATATGTTATTTTTCAACTGTTATTTAGGAATAACAGTTTGCTACACTTTTTTTAAAAAATAAGTATACAGACCTGATCATCCTAAATCCATGGTCTATAGTGTCTATAGGGACAATATTTAATGGTTTGCTATCTTTTTTTGAAAAACATATCAACAATGAAAATAAATATACAGACCTGGTCATCCTAAAGCCGTGGTCTAAAGAGACGTTGTTATTCAATGACCTGTTATTTAGTAATAACAGTTCGTCCAAATTTGTTACTTTTCAAATATAATAGGCATAAAAACATAGACATACAAACCTAGTGGTGGTCTATAGAGGCGTTATTTAATGATCTGTTATTTTGAAGCTGTTATTTAGAAATAACAGTTCACGTCAATTGTTACTTTCAAAAAATAGAAGGCTTGAAAATAAGCATACAGACCTGATCATTCTAAATCTATAGTTTATATAGAGACGTTAATATTTTCAGAGCTGTTATTTTCCAACTGTTTTTTAGAAATAATAGTTTGCGACTTATTTCTAACTCTATGTTTATGAAGGCTTTTTATAAAATTATAGGCATGAATATATCCATGCAGACCTGGTCATCCTAACTCCGTGTTTTATAGAGACGTTGTAATTTAATGATCTGTTATCTAAATGTTATTTAGTAATAGTTTTAAACTTGTTACTTTCCAAACAAAATAGCCATAAAAATAAATATAAAGACCCCGTAATTTCAAAATCCGTGGTTTATAGAGACGTTGTAATTTAATGATCTGTTATTTAGTAATAACAATTCGTCAAAATTTGTTACTTTCCAAACATAATAGGCATAAAAACATAGACATACAAACCTAGTGGTGGTCTATAGAGACGTTGTTATTTAATGATCTGTTATTTTGCAACTGTTATTTAGAAATAACAGTTCGCGTCAATTGTTACTTTGAAAAAATAGAAGGCTTGAAAATAAGCATACAGACCTGGTCATTCTAAATCTATAGTTTATATAGAGACGTTAATATTTTCAGAGATGTTATTTTCCAACTGTTATTTAGAAATAATAGTTTGCGACTTATTTTTAACTCTATGTTTGCGGCAGTTGTTACTTTTATAAAATTATAGGCATAAATATATCCATACAGACCTGGTCATCCTAACTCCGTGTTTTATAGAGACGTTGTAATTTAATGATCTATTATTTTCCAACTGTTATTTAGTAATAATAGTTCGTAAAACTTGTTACTTTCCAAACAAAATAGGCATAAAAATAAATATAAAGACCCCGTAATTTCAAAATCCGTGGTTTATAGAGACGTTGTAATTTAATGACCTGTTATTTAGTAATAACAATTCGTCAAAATTTGTTACTTTCCAAACATAATAGGCATAAAAACATAGACATACAAACCTAGTGGTGGTCTATAGAGACGAGTTATTTAACGATCTGTTATTTTAACTGAAGATGAAATAGTCTGCGTCAATTGTTATCATTTCCTGAAATAGAAGGCTTTGAAAATAAGCATACAGACTCAGTCGTCTCCTAAATCAGAAGTTTATATAGAGACGTTAATATTTTCAGAGCTGTTATTTTCCTATTCTATGTTATTTAGAAATAATAGTTTGTGACTTATTTTTAACTCTATGTTTGCGGCAGTTGTTACTTTTATAAAATTATAGGCATGAATATATCCATACAGACCTGGTCATCCTAACTCCGTGTTTTATAGAGAGATGTTGTAATTTAAATTGATCATTATTATTAATTAAAACAATAAAAATTATTTTTAGTAATAATAGTTCGTAAAACTTGTTACTTTCCAAACAAAATAGGTATTGGGAATAAATATAAAGACCTCGTAATTTCAAAACCCGTGGTCTATAGAGACGTTGTTATTCAATGACCTGTTATTTAGTAGTTCGTCGTACTTTGTTACTTTCCAAAGGATAATAGGCATAAAAAACATAGATGACAAACCTTGGTGGTGGTCTATAGAGACGTTGTTATTTAATGATCTGTTATTTTGCAACTGTTGTTTAGAAATAACAGTTCGCGTCAATTGTTACTTTGAAAAAATAGAAGGCTTGAAAATAAGCATACAGAAAATTTGAAGATTTTTAATAGTTTTTTTTATTTAGATTATTATTTTCAGAGCTGTTATTTTCCTATTCTATGTTATTTAGAAATAATAGTTTGTGACTTATTTTTAACTCTATGATTGCGGCAGTTGTTACTTTTATAAAATTATAGGCATGAATATATCCATACAGACCTGGTCATCCTAACTCCGTGTTTTATAGAGACGTTGTAATTTAATGATCTATTATTTTCCAACTGTTATTTAGTAATAATAGTTCGTAAAACTTGTTACTTTCCAAACAAAATAGGCATAAAAATAAATATAAAGACCCCGTAATTTCAAAATCCGTGGTTTATAGAGACGTTGTAATTTAGAATTAATTCAATGGCCAACCTGTTATTTAGTAGCTGTTAGTCTGTAAAACTTGTTATTTTCCAAACAAAATAGGCATAAAATAACATAAAGACCCCTGGGCATCAAAAACTGTATTTATAGAGACGTTGTACCTTAATGATCTGTTATTTAGTAATAACAATTCGTCAAAATTTGTTACTTTCCAAACATAATAGGCATAAAAACATAGACATACAAACCTAGTGGTGGTCTATAGAGGCGTTATTTAATGATCTGTTATTTTGAAGCTGTTATTTAGAAATAACAGTTCACCACCTAAAAGCTTTCAAAAGTAGAAAGCCTCTGAAAATAAGCATACAGACCTGGTCATTCTAAATCTATAGTTTATTTAGAGACAAGCACATTTGTGAGCTGTTATTTTCTCCCCATTCTATGTTATTGAAGAAGTCGGTGACCATTTTAACTCTATTATCAGTTGGTTATTTATGAAATAAATGAATATATCCATGGACCAGTCACCATCCTAACTCCGTGTTTTATAGAGACGTTGTAATTTAATGATCTATTATTTTTTTTTTTTTTTTTTTTTTAAATTAATTAAAATCACTGTCACTTTCCCAAACAAAATAGGCATATAAATAAAGACCCCACTTTCAAAACCCGTGGTCTATAGAGACGTTGTAATTTAATGACCTGTTATTTAGTGGTTTGTAGTTCGTCGTAAATGCATATTTCCTAAAAATAATAGTAATAAAAAGCGTTAGTATTGCTAAACCTGAAGTGTGTGGTCCAGTAGAGACGTTGTTATTTAATGATCTGTTATTTGCAACTGTTATTTAGGAAATAGTCAAACAATTGGTTACTTTCTAAAAATAGAAGGCTTGTAAAATATTACATGAATCTGGGTCAATTCTAAATCTATAGCCATATAGAGACGCAATATTTTCTGTCTATAGCTGTTATTTCTTCCAACTGTTTTTAGAAATAATAGTTTGCGACTTATTTCAAACTCATGTCATATAGTTGTTACTTATATGTAAAATTATAGGCATGAATATATCCATACAGACCTTGTCATCCCAACTTGTGTTTCTTCTTATAGACGTTGTAATTGTTAATCGGTCATTTCCTAGCCAAGATTTAGTAATAATAGTTCGTAAAACTTGTTATTTTCCAAAACAAATATGAAAGGTATAAAATAAATATAAAGCACCTGTAATTTCAAACTGTGGTTTATAGAGAGACGTTGTTATTCAATGACCTGTTATTTAGTAATAACAGTTCGTCAAAATTTGTTACTTTCCAAACATAATAGGCATAAAAACATAGACATACAAACCTAGTGGTGGTCTATAGAGACGTTGTTATTTAATGATCTGTTATTTTGCAACTGTTATTTAGAAATAACAGTTCGCGTCAATTGTTACTTTCAAAAAATAGAAGGCTTGAAAATAAGCATACAGACCTGGTCATTCTAAATCTATAGTTTATATAGAGACGTTAATATTTTCAGAGCTGTTATTTTCCAACTGTTTTTTAGAAATAATAGTTTGCGACTTATTTCTAACTCTATGTTTGCGACAGTTGTTACTTTTTATAAAATTATAGGCATGAATATATCCATGCAGACCTGGTCATCCTAACTCCGTGTTTTATAGAGACGTTGTAATTTAATGATCTATTATTTTCCAATTGTTATTTAGTAATAATAGTTCGTAAAACTTGTTACTTTCCAAACAAAATAGGCATAAAAATAAATATAAAGACCCCGTAATTTCAAAACCCGTGGTCTATAGAGACGTTGTAATTTAATGACCTGTTATTTAGTAATAACAGTTCGTCAAAATTTGTTACTTTCCAAACATAATAGGCATAAAAGCATAGACATACAAACCTAGTGGTGGTCTATAGAGACGTTGTTATTTAATGACCTGTTATTTTGCAACTGTTGTTTAGAAATAACAGTTCGCGTCAATTGTTACTTTTAAAAAAATAGAGGCTTTGTGCCACAGCTGTCAGTTCTAAATTTAGTTTATAGAGATGTAATATTTTCAGAGCTGTTATTTTCCAACTGTTTTTTAGAAATAATAGTTTGCGACTTATTTCTAACTCTATGTTTGCGACAGTTGTTACTTTTTATAAAATTATAGGCATGAATATATCCATGCAGACCTGGTCATCCTAACTCCGTGTTTTATAGAGACGTTGTAATTTAATGATCTATTATTTTCCAATTGTTATTTAGTAATAATAGTTCGTAAAACTTGTTACTTTCCAAACAAAATAGGCATAAAAATAAATATAAAGACCCCGTAATTTCAAAATCCGTGGTTTATAGAGACGTTGTAATTTAATGACCTGTTATTTAGTAATAACAGTTCGTCAAAATTTGTTACTTTCCAAACATAATAGGCATAAAAGCATAGACATATAAACCTAGTGGTGGTCTATAGAGACGTTGTTATTTAATGACCTGTTATTTTGCAACTGTTGTTTAGAAATAACAGTTCGCGTCAATTGTTACTTTGAAAAAATAGAAGGCTTGAAAATAAGCATACAGACCTGGTCATTCTAAATCTATAGTTTATATAGAGACGTTAATATTTTCAGAGCTGTTATTTTCCAACTGTTATTTAGAATAATAGTTTGCGACTTATTTTTAACTCTATGTTTGCGACAGTTGTTACTTTTATAAAATTATAGGCATGAATATATCCATACAGACCTGGTCATCCTAACTCCGTGTTTTATAGAGACGTTGTAATTTAATGATCTATTATTTTTCAATTATTATTTAGTAATAATAGTTCGTAAAACTTGTTACTTTCCAAACAAAATAGGCATAAAAATAAATATAAGGACCTATAGAGAAATATAAGGGTCTATAGAGACGTTGTAATTTAATGACAACGTCTCAAAATGTTATTTTCCAACTGTTTATGAAGAATAACAGTTCGGAAGACATACCACTTTCAAAAAATAACAGGCATGAAAATAAATTTACAGACCTGGTCCAACTAAATGTGCTAATAAGGTTCTTTCTATAGTAATATTCTCTATTTTTCTGTTACAGGAGAAAAACGGAAACTCGTCCTAGGCGCAGAAGCCACGTTCTGGACGGAACAAGCCGATTCCACTTCGCTGGACAGCCGATTGTGGCCGAGGGCGTCGGCCATGGCGGAAGTGCTGTGGTCGGAACCGGAAACGACGTGGCGGAAGGCGGAAACTCGGTTCCTGATTCACAGGGAGCGACTGGTCAAGTTGGGCGTGAACGCGGACGCTCTGGAACCGGAATGGTGCATGCAGTACGAAGAAAACTGTCCTATTGGCGGGAAATTTAACAGTCATAACAAACCTTAACGAGTTTGATTGGTCTGATGTTAATACTCACCTACAAACTTCTTTTTTACTACAGAACAAATATTTTTTTAATGCGATTTTTAAGTAACATTCAAAAGACGAAAGTAATAAAGAAATAAAATCGTACAAAACTGTGTTTTTATTTGATAAATAGATTTTCATTCAATTCTTTTGAAGTGAAACTTTTATACGCGCGCTGGGAGTAAAAATTCAAGGCCGTGACACACAAGCTAGCGAGACGAAAAGTGGTAAGGACAGCCTATACGGCTTAAAAATACGATACATATACAGGGTGGTCGGAATTGTATTCTGGAAACTTCGGCAGCATATTCTACAGATAAACATAAGTAAAAAAGTTCGTATAAAGGTATGTCCTAAAAGGGTGTAGAAATTTCATTTTTAATTCGATTTTTTCCAAATAACTTCTGAAGTAACGTCAATATTTAGATGAAAATTGGTGTCTGGGAGTTTTTTGACATGAGAAATTTGATTTTGATGTCACTATGACTCCTACTTGTAGAAGGCGCCACCTACATATTTTTTAGCTAGTTTGAAGAGTAATAACTTTTTGTCCATACCTGTATAAAATTACCAAATACGGTTAAATAAAATATACGACGGCCTCCCCATAAGAGCAATAAGAGGATTCACGTCCCAGTATTGAAGGACAGAAAATCGAGTGTTTCTTAATCTACCTGTATTAGGTACTACCTCCTTTGGGAATATGGAATCCCCACAGAGATTAGATTTGGTAGACATTGTTTTATATTTCACATAATTTCTATGCATTAATAATAGCCTGAAAAATATTTTATTTAAAATGAATTTAATCTTTGATTAAACTACACTACAAAAATACTATCAACTATTTATCACAAGTTTAGTAACAATAAGTTATATTTTACAAATATGCAGACAGTACAAAATACCTATAATACACAAATATAAAAATCATAGACTCTCTTTTTTACTATGTACATACTTATTATAAACATTTGATGTGCTTATTCTAATAATAAATTTAATAATATTCAGTCGTTTTTAAAACGATGGGAATTGTTTCCTCCATTCAAAATAACCTGAAACAATTTGATTATCAATAATTTAGCGTAAAATAAAGAAAAACGGTGTCAAGTTTCCTTAAAATTAATGACCAATAACAATTTGTGTGTAAAATATCTCAAACTGGATTTCCAAGATAACTTGACGCCGCTTTTATCAATCATACGGTATATATTTTTTATTTATATGCAACCCATAATACACTAGTGGTGTATTGTGAGTTGCAGCATACGCCAAAAATTTTAAATTGCCGCAACAGCTGATTCTTCTTGTCATTTCATTTTCTAACCTCGCCGATCAATAACAAATATTCAAAATTAAAAAGGTAAATAAAAATAACTTTATAGTTTGAAATATTTAAATTATTCACGTGACTCTTTTTTTATTCGAGGGCTTACTAAAAAATCTTACCACTCTCCTTTTTGGTTCAATTTTAAAGCAAAAAGGCGAGCCAGACAAATAGTACCTGATAAAATTATTGATTTGTGCCCATCATGAAATACATTTTATTATTAACAAAAGAAATAATACACCGTTTTATTACAATCAAGCTGATGTATCACTAGACTAAAATAACAATCATAATATTATGCTAAACTAAATACCTTACATAGTAAATATTTAGTTTTGAAAACAGTACTCGATTTACATTATAATCGATAAAGTACTAATAACAAAAAAGACTAGAAAGTAGTCTAAAATTTGATTTTACTTTATGTATATTATAAAATAACATAAATCTATGGTCTGTCTAAAGAGAGGATACGTGACAGTGAAGTTGTACCTTTTAAATGCACTCTTAAATGTCGATTAAACCTTCCCTGGCTCGTTGGACAGACTATAGTTATAAAATGAAAATAAATGCATTTAAATTAAATACATTTTTACATTGCAAATGACCTGTAATTAGAAATCTACTACAAAATGGTATTCTGCGTGAACAAATGAATGGTTTAGCTGCTAAATCTTGAAGATCTTCTCTCTATATTATCTGAAGCACCTCCTCACACTATGGACTGTAATTGCTAAGATAACTTATAACTTACCTTTAAATTAAAAGCAATAAGAACATTTAATGTTTAGAAAATCAAAGTAAATTTCTCTAAAACTTATGATAAGTTGTAGAATTATAAAAAAATGCTATACTATCCACCTAATATGATTATACTAATATAATGTAAGGAACTCATTCAACTGTGGGTCTTTTATTATTCTTCTTGTGATTTAATAAAGAAAAACAAACCAAAATCAAAAACCTTTGTGAACACTGATACATTTTTTTAACAGATTATAAAAAAATGTTAGAGAAAAATACTATATTTTTGGTAAATATGGCAACAAATACAAAAATTAAAAATTCTATACATTTCTTAATTTTGCAGTCTTTTCAATACTCACTGGTATAAAATACGAGATAATATATAGCGGGTGTTTTAGGTGGCTCAGCCCAATAAGTTTTTTATCTTTTGAAATAAAAAAAAACGAGAATTGGTGTATTAGTATTTGAAATAAATCACAACTGTTTAAATGGTACCATCTATTTTTTTACTTTATTTGATGGAAAATTAAATTCTGAATAGAATGACATATCATATGTCAAATTTTTGACATTTTTGTTTAAAAAACAGTTTTTAAATTTCAATATAGAGTACCATGGGTGTGTTAAAAATACTAATTTTTAATCGAGGAGCCTTGGGAAAATACATTTGATAATCTAATATTTTTCGTGAGGTTTCCTGAGCATTTAAAATCAAAATTCCCAATCAATTAAAAAACTCAATTTTTTCAAATGGAACGAGGGTGGCTCATTAGCATATTTGGAAAAATCATTTTTTAAAGAATAATTTGGTACTACATACTTGACATTTCGAGACAGTCATTGCTTTCTAGATTGAAATTTAAAATGCTATTTTTAAGCGAGAAATCTCAAAAAGGCCGAAAGTTCAACATCAAAGAAAGTAAAAAATTACCGAGGGTACCATTTAAAAAAAATCCGACCGAAAATAATTGAATACGTCAATCATTACCAAATCTCGCTCTTTTGTCTGAAAAAAATAGAAAAGTTATAGGGGTGAGCCACTTTCAAAAGGTACCCATTATGTTACATTGCAATTACAACAGCTGTCTTCTAATTCATAAATTTTGGTAGTTTAATCAGATTTTCTATTGAAAACAGCGAGAAAAGAGACTATTTCGACAGATGACGTATCATTAAATTAATTTAAATAAAAATTACTCGAGTTAATCCCATTAATAAATTATATTTGCCTGTCTACCTCTATGTCTCTGTGTCTAAGGTATTAAGAGTGTTAAAGATAAAGATAAAGTCCGCATTATCGGAATTTTTTATTTATAGCCTCTTTTTTGAAGTAGATTAAAAATGACCTAAGAATATTTAACCTGTTGCTGTCAGGTATCTGTCAAAATTGACATTTAAAGAATTAAATGTCTCCAGCTGACGTTTGCTAGTCATGCGCAATCCTGAAATTTCGAACAGATTGGGCAATACACCAGCCGACATTGAAGACATTCAAAGCAATCATATTTGTATTTAAAAAAAACTGACAAACATGAAAGGAAACAAACAAAAAGGTTCAAACCAAAGCAATCAATAATAAAAATAAAAATGTCTTATATTAATGACACACCCTGTATCAATACTTATCAAAATTAGAACTTAAGTATCTTAGGTAAGGAGGATTCAATATAATTTATAAGATTTGAAATAAATACTGTCCTAAGGGTAGTTTACTCTTGACTCGAAAAATATCAAACCCCATTAAAACGTACGTCTATGAGGTATCGCATTTCTTACCCTGGGCAAAATGTACGTCTTATAGCCATACAGCCTCCTGCCAAAATTGAAAAAGATCGCTCAACAAACAACCAAGATATTGGCTTGTATCTATCTTAAGTGGGACACCGTGTACAAATGTCATCAGCCAAAGTGAATTCCTATCTGGAGACACATATCTACAAAATGGGTTTCCTGGTGGAATTTTGAAAATTTTATTTGAAAAAGTTGTTTGTTCTTTAATTTTGCCTAAGTATACCAAAAAATGTTTTGGTCATTTCTAACCAATAATAATAGCAGCTGATTTTCTTGATAGAAACAAAAATAACTGATGGTATTATTTGATCGACAATATGTATCTAGCGCTCATATATCTAGTTAAATATTTTGAATTAATACTTTTTAAATTCTGTTGTTTTTGTGCATGACCATTACAAAGGAGCCTCTACGATGCAAATTGGTAATAAAAAACAAAACTATTGATCAGATAATGTCATTCGAGTACCTCGGATGCAAAATTACAAGCTCAGGATTCCTGGAAGAAGTAAGGAAACAAGCCAATAAAGCTGCCGCAATATCAGGACATCTTAAATATCCCATATGGAAAAACAAACATTTGAGTACAGAATGTAAGTCAAGAATATACAAAACCTGCATACGACCAGTGATGACATATGGTGCGGAAACCAGAGCTGAAACATCAGTAACAAAGAGAATCCTACGAACTACTGAAATGAAGACCTTAAGAATGATAACTGGATACACATTGAGGGACAGACAGAGAAATGTAGACATAAGAGAAAAGTGCCAAACAAACGACGTTGTCAGATGGATAAGGCAGAGAAGAAGAGAATGGAACCAGCATGTCAATAGAACGGGCCCCGACAGAATGGCCATAATAATTCGCAACAACGTACCCCATGGCAGAAGATCTACTGGACGACCAGCTAAACGTTGGCAAGACAGTTGGCAGTCAACCTCGCAAGAGTTGCTTAGACGAGGAGGAAACCGGAACTAAACAGGCGATACGCCTTCTAAAAGAAGAAGAAATTCTGTTGTAAAAAAAAATTGATGCTCAATAAAATGCCGTATTGCATTTTTTTGCATAAAATATTCTGGTGATGGAATTTTCTGTACGAAACGTCGGCAAACATCAAAGTGACTATATACAGGGTGTTTCAAAACAAGTGCGAAAAACTTCAGGGGGTGATTCCTTGTTCAAAATAAAGGGTAGTTTGCTTCATAAACGTTGGGTCAAAAATCATGTTTTAGGGAGATCTTGAAAAAGATGGCGGAAAGATAATGTTTTTTTATGGAAAACGATTAGATGACTAATAAAAATTACTGTTATGAAAACACACTTTCTGGTAATTTTTCACTTTTTAAAACGAGTGGAAGGGGTTGAAATAAACTACCCCTATCATTCTTGTTAACGAAATTTAAAGAAAAATCTTATCAAACACATGAAAAAAATAATTTGGATAGTTTAGCTTGTTTAGAAACTTTTTATCTCTTGTATTTTTTTGATAAAACTCACCGATTTGAAATTAAAAAATAAAATGTAAAGCATTACATGTCAGGACAAAAAACATTTTCTGATAAAGAATCTAGTGGGCTGCTGTAATTTTTTAGGAAAAAATCTAGTCGGCCGCTGTTACTTTTAGGATGTTCCTAATATTTTTTATTTGACATTACTCTACTGCAATACGTTATTATCTAGATGATTATTATTATCGTTATTATCACTAGATTCTTAATCTAAAAATGTTTTTGTCCTGACATGTAATACTTTACATTTTATTTTTTAATTTCCAATCGGTGAGTTTTATCAAAAAAACACAAGAGGTAAAAAGTTTCTAAACAAACTAAGCTATCCAAATTAAAGCATTTGCATGTGTTTGATAAGATTTTCTTTAAATTTCGTTAACAAGAATGATAGGGGTAGTTTATTTCAACCCCTTCCATTCATTTTAAAAAACTAAAAAATTACCTGAAAGTGTGTTTTTCATAACAGTAATGCTTCCATAAAATTTCATTAGTCTATCTCTTTTCGTTTTCAAGATAAAAAATGAAAACATTATTTTTCCGCCATCTTTGTACCGCGATATCTCCCTAATGGTTGACTTTTGACCCAACGTTTATAAAGCAATCTACCCTTTATTTTGAACAAGGAATCACCCCCTAAAGTTTTTCGCATTTGTTTTGAAACACCCTGTATAGTGTTTTAAGAGCGATGAAAGGATTTAATTAAATTGAAAAAAAAATCCCGTATTTAAAAAAATTAAGTTGATGATGTTCGCCAGAAGTCGAAATGTCAGTCAGAGTCAATATTTAATCACACAGAGTTATAGAGCAGAAAAAATGGCCATGAAAATGTGTTTTTCATTTTAAGTTATCTTAAAAAATAAAGCCAGGAAACAATAGAAAACAAAATTGAAAATTCCGGGTTTTTTTCGAATATATTCGGAAGTATTCGGAATTTTTCAAAATGCAATACGGCATTTTATTGAGCATCAAATTGCGCAACTTTGCCTCCATTTAGGGCTCGAACACACTGACGACCAGGTCGCACCGGCCAGGCCGCAGTTACCTCTAAAACCATTAAATCAAATGATATAGCGCACACTAACGCCCTGGCCGTCCGTCCGTTGGTTGTTGCGACCAGAAGACTGCAGGGAAATATTATTATTTTCTGCCGCTTGTTGCCGGTTTTCTTCCAAATTAATAATTTTTCAGATGAAATCCCTCAAATTCAAGGCACAATATTTTATTTTCTATAAGATATAGTGTTTTAGTGTAGTTTTTGCACACGTGCAGAAAATCCAAAGAAATAGTATACAGACTGGATCAAAGTAATCGATTCGAGTAAAAACTCAAAATTTTTATATGACATACCTACTCTATTTATGGTTGGTATGATACCTGTTATTATACCTTGGAGTTTCGATGTTAAAAAATAAAAAAAAAATAATATTAAAAGTTTTTCTACAACCACTTGTTTTTTTTTTAAATTAGTTTTTTTAGTTGTATTGTAGTCATGTACAAAGAGGACAACTGTATTTTAAATATTATATTTAATTTAACGTTTTTCAAACAGGGTTCATTAGACTATATTTCTACTAGGTACATTATTTTGAAAAAAAAAAATAAGAAAGTAACTTAAACATTCATAAAAAATAGAAGTAATTACTATTGTAGATTCTTCGTTAGATTGTAAACATTGAAATAACTGGAAGCTAAACTTTCTACCTGCTTATATTTAGAGCCAGTGTCTGACGATCTTTTTTTACGATGACCCTAATATGTTTACTTCTAAAGTCGATAAGGGCGCCATATCAGTAGAAAAAAGAAACAGAATATCTCCCTTTTTGTCGGTCGCGCGTACACAATGTTTTTGTTTGTTGTGAATACTTCGCTTTTTAGTAAACTTGGATATTTTAACATTTCTGAAACAATATTTTCTAATTGGTAAAACGTAAAAAATCGTTAGATTTGACAACTCTGTTGAAACTGGCCGTTCATCTGGCCGCAGCTAAAAACGCAATACATCCGGCCAGCCGACGGCCAGGTCTTTGCGACCTGGTCGTCAGTGAGTCTGAGCCCTTAACCGATCCTATATCTCTTACGGTTTCCGAAATCCAATGATGAATGAGTCGAATTCGAGCCACCCTGTACAAATTTGAATTTCATCATGACATATTGATAAATGGGGAAATTTTTACAACTAATTTGAATTTTTCTTTAAACACTATTAATTGGTTCAATAAATTTAACTAAATATATGACCCACTAGGTAAATATTGGAGTCTCAAACAGACTAACAACAGTTATTTTTGCTTCCTAGTAGAGAAACCGCTACTTTTGGTAAAACAGAAACTAAAAAAATATTTCATCTGTATACTTATACAGGGTTGTTCATCACATACGACACGGAGTATTGTAGCTAAACGATTAGATTTTTACAAATTGTAAGTTTTGGGTTCGTTGAAGGACTATTAGAGCTACAATTTAAAAATATTTTTAATTGATACAGAGTGTCCCAAATAAATGAAAAATATCAAAGTTGTATTTTTTTAAATGGAACACCCTGTATATTATTAAATTTTTAGTTTCTACGATTAAAATAAAGGTAAATTTGATTAAGGTTTACCGCACTTTAATCTTACCGTTTTTGAAATATTTTCAATTTTGTGAAATCGCAGTCAAAATTTTAAGGCTTCATTTCTCCAGAGGTATCAAAATTTTTAATACTAAATATTTACTGAAGTTTATTTATTGATCAGTTATTGTGTTGCAATAATAAAATTATACTACCTTATACAGAGTGTCTAAAATTTTAATTTAAATAATTACTAGCTTTAAACGGCAATAACTTCTTTAATTTAAATGGAACACCCTGTATATTTTATGAGAATCAGATGCACAATTTAATTGTCTATCAAACTGTATTATACCATTTTTTACCTATCTCTTCAAATTTCCGTAGAAAATGCATTTTCATGTAATTTAAAACTCATTTATGAATATACCCATGGAATACTGACATTTTAGATTATTTTTCAAGATGTACCAAATTTTTAAAGAGTACAGATACTAGTATTGTCGATACAGTTTGTTTATTTCATTAAGAAATAAAAAAACTGTTTAAATATTTGTTAAAGAGGACCAATTAATATGATTCCAGTATTCAAACTACATTAATTGGCTGTTGCGTTGATTAATAATAATTGCTCCAAATACTAATAAACTGAATTTTGTATGTATATTAGACAATGTGGTAAAAAGTAACACCTTAAAAATGATATTTCATTTTTTGACAAATGCTTATTTATAACAACAGAGACATTCCTTGTCATAACTTATTATTATATTGATTTCTGATTCAAATCCACATTTATTTAGAATAATTTATTAACGAACATAATTAAGTATGTAATTAATTAGTATTTGGGCGGAAATATTGGTGGTATATTTAATTAATGCTATACTCTTTTATAAAGATTTAAATAGTTTTCTTTTTGCATGCAAATGGGCTAGTAATATTATCATTTTGCTAAAAACGATAATATTACTAGCCTGTACATTTTATACATTTGTTGCTTTAAAAACAATCTAAAATGTCAATATTCCATGGGTATATTGATAAATGAGGTCTAAATTATAAGAAAATGCATTTTCTACGAAAAGTTGAAGGGAGAGGTAAAAAGTGGTATAATACAATTTGATAGACAATTGCATTGTGCATCTGATTCTCGTAAAATATACAGGGCGTTCCATTTAAATTAAACAAGTTATTGACGTTTAACGCTAGAAATAATTTAAAATAAATTTTTAGACACTCTGTATGAGGTAGTATTATTTTTATTATTGCAACACAATAACTGATCAATAAATAAACTTCAGTAAATATTTAGTATTAAAAACTTTGATACCCTTGGAGAAATGAAGCCTTAAAATTTTTACTGCAATTTCACAAAATTGAAAATATTTCAAAAACGGTAAGGTTTAAGTGTAATAAACCTTAATCAAATTTACCTTTATTTTAATCGTAGAAACTAAAAATGTAATAATATACAGGGTGTTACATTTAAAAAAATACAACTTTGATATTTTTTATTTATTTGGGACACTCTTCTGTATCTTGTAAAAATATTTTTAAATTGTAGCTCTAATATTCCTTCAATGAACCCAAAACTTACAATTTGTAAAAAACTAATCGTTTAGCTACAATACTCCGTGTCGTATGTGGTGAACAACCCTGTATATCCAAAATTAAAAAAAAAACTTCGGCCAATAAGACAGTTATTACTGTCAAATTTGACAGATACCTGAGAGCAAAGGAAGTTGATTTTTTATGTAGTATGTATTTCAAAGCAAAAAAACTAGCTTCAAAGTCAAATTTAATCTAAATCAATTGATAAAACATAACCCATAATTTGATACGGATCTTACCAGTGACATTGAGCAAGCAACTGTACCAGTTTGTATTTGTTTAAATTTATATCTTTAATTTTCATACACACATCATATCGCTCATAGAAAAAAGAACATTAGTCACAGCTTCCATTAAACCATTTAAATGGAAAAAAATGTGGATCTTTTTTTAAATATAAAATCCTTCGTGCCAATTCACAACTATTATTATTAATATTGATAAAAAAAAACGAGGGAAAAAATCAAAAATCATCTTACTACCTACCACCTAAAGATCGGAACTGCTCGAAAATATCTTCAATTTACATTTCATTTCGGTTCTTCAATCTTCCCAATCAAAACCCTCCTCTGTTAAACCCGCCTCTTCCTCTAGCTCGTCTGTTGCCCCTCCCACCTCGTCCTCCCGCTCTATTTCCACGGCCACGCCCCCTGAATCCGAATCCATCCTGATTCTTATTACCGAACCCGCCTCTAAAGCTGTCCCTTCTATAGGCTCCTCCCCCTCCGCTCATATTGAACTCTTGCCTGTCCATGCCGAAGCTATCGTCGAAGCCGTATCGGTTATCTTCGGGATAGTACGGGTTATCTTCGGGATAGTACGGATTCTCGTCGGGGAAATACGGTAAGTTGTCTTCGGGCAAGTACGGGGGACCGTCTAGCGGATGATCGCCGTAACGTGGCGGAGTTTGGTGGGCGTGGTGGTTCCAATGAGGTGGGCCGTCCATCCAGGGCGGCTGGGGAGGCTGTAGCATGGGAGGAGGAGGTCCGTTCATTGTGGGCGTGGGCAGGAGGCCTGGCGTTGGGGGATTGTTCATATCCATCTGGTAATGTCAAAAAAGAATAGTATTATAGTACACAGAGTGTTTGGAAAATGTATGGCAACTTTTTAGGGGATGATTCTTCGACAAAAAAATTGTGTGTGCACTATGTGCGCATATTTGAAGTGAAACTTCTTACTAACAGCTATTAAATTGAAGTATTTGAAGGACATATAGAGTTAATATAAAACCGTATACTATTCTAGCTTTATAATTTTATGTTTTTTAAATTTTTATTAAAAAACGATGATTCCATTACTCGGCCGGATAGCCTGGCAGCAGTGGCCATTAAACCAAAATACTACTACATATATATATCTGACTACTACTGCTTCTAACCAACAATTTGTTTTGTGTGGTCTGTGGTCTGTTTTTGTTTAAATGTTTTGTTCATTATACATGTTGGGGATTTATTTTTAAATTAACGGTAATCGTTAGGCAAACTCATAGAACATGCATTTCTTTTGCATAATCAAAATTGTCGCTCTAAATTTTACATAACCAAATTGTCACTCTAAATCGCTGTCTTTTTTAGACAGATGTTACTTGTCTTGTCATTATTCAAATTCCCAGAATGTTGTTAACAAAAGTTTCATCTTAAAATAAAATTTTAATCAATCACAATTGTTTTTCTCCATCATTTACGGGATTAATAATCCTGAAATTACAGTTCAATTACAAACGATTCATTATTTATAGTGATTTACAGTAATTTTATTAAATTATACGAATATTCTCTTTGATTATTGGTTTGAAATAAATATGACAGTGCCCTCTAATGAAAATGCGAGTTACTAACTCTAAATTCTAATTCTGAGCTGGCAAATCAGCAGATGCTTTACCTAGATCGTTATTCAGAAGCTACAAACCTATCGATGAAAACATGCATGTAAATATACTTCCTAGCACACAAGTTTGGTACAATATCAAGTTTATTATAGTTATTTTCTTAGCCGCGTATGGCACAGATCGTTCCCAAGCAGCATTTGGACGTCGAGACAACGTTGTATCACGCGACCAAACGTCGGGGCGCAACGTCGGCACAACCTCGTGCCAACCCTAGTCTGCACTAGTTTGGAGAATAATTTTTAGGTCGAAACGACGTAACGTTGGATACCTACGTTGGCTAGCACCCTAATTTAGTACAAACTGCAACGTTGTTTAAAATCCTAATTCACAGAAATACAAAACTATAATAATATGGCGTCTAAGTCGCGTTTTATCTTAAATTGGGATAATTATAGTAAAAATATTATTTTTATAATTTAGTTAGTGATGACGATGACAGATGGCAGTAAAGGAAAACTAGACAAAAGTATTTAAGTGTAGAGGATGTTTGAAGATCATAATTATTGAAACACTTTAACCAACTCTGTAACTCGTTACCCAAGGCAAAAAAGTTAAACGCAAACAACTTTATTGATAAATGTATTGTTTCTACTTTGAAAAATACTTATGGGCCTTAAAATTAAAGAAGTTATAAAAATTTCTAGATTTTTTTTAATAAAATGAGAATAATTTTTTCGCAGTCGAAAAAAAATTGTTTCCGCGTGTTTTTTAGGGTCAAATATTTCAAGTTAATGTATTCAAAAAGCAGGAATTGCTATTTTAGGAACGAAACATTTTCTTATTCAACAACATGGCGGCTTTCACTTTGTTGTTTTGGTGATTAAGATGGAGTAGTTCGAGTAGCCGCATACTGGACTAATAAAGTCGCAGTTCAGCCTTAACAGGTAGTATACTAGTCGCAAGATTGCCTAATTTAGTCATCCTAGAGTCTAGCTTGTGCAGCCCTCTATATTCTAAATAAACGAGGGAGTGGATAAAGTATCGGTAATATGTCGATATATATTTAAATTTAGTTTTATATGTGCCTTTCTTACGTCCCATTTTAATTAATTTTTTTTTATAAAAACAAAAACAGCACAGTATTGTCTGACTGAAGAGAACAATGAAGTGAAAATTTAAGATTTAAAGTTATGGTTTAATACAGTTGCAAAAAGGTAGTGGCTCGACGTCCTACCACCGTAAGAATAAGGAAATCTAAACTACGTTGGAATTAGTAAAACAGACGACGTTTGCATAACGCTGGAATAGGTCCTGAAAGTGACGTCGGAAAAATCTTTATTGCCCAACATTGTAACTACGTTGTCCGAACCACCTAAAGATCACTTAAGCAAAAAAGGTTACAAGACAACGTTTATTCGACGTCGCAGAAGCGTTTACTTTGTTGTAGTACTAGTTCAACGTCGGCACAACGTTACAACAACGTTTACATTTATTTTAATACCCAAGGTACGGAGCTAACTATTTTCTGTAACTAATCCAACGTTGTGTTTAATAAACATGTGGTCGCAAGTCGTGAAAATGCTACTTGGGTTACGGTTTAAAAAAAAGTTTAATAATACATTTTTTAACTTTTTTATGATATTAAATATAGAGCATATTATATTTTTAAAAAGCTCATAACAAGGCAACGATTTTCTTAGCTTTAAATCAAATATTTTTTGATGTTTGCGCGATTGTGCGATTCTTCCCACTTTTCATCTCACTAGCTCGTGTGCCACAGGCTTGAATTTTTACTCCCAGCGCGCGTAAAGAAGTTTCACTCCAAAAAACTACTTACTCTGTTTATTCCGCCCATCATAGCCGCTGGCGGCATGCCCATATTGAACGCCATCGAGGGCGGCATGGGCGGCGGCACCCCGTGCCAGGGCGGCCTCTGGTGCACGTCGATCGGACTGAGGAGCGCCTTGTCCATCGCCGGGCCGTGTTCGACCGCGTCGGGCGGGTTCAGTTCCGCCGACAAATTGCTGAACTCGTTCAGTCGTTCGAGATGTCGTCCAGGAATTGGTTGGCGTCGACGTCGTCGAGCAGGTCGGGCAAGGGCGGGGGCGGTTCCAGGGAGGCGTGGCCATTTCCTGAAAAACATATCGTTATTACATCCTATAAACTCCGTGGATAAAGCTGTCATAAGTTATTATACAAAACTTTGTTTCTGTAAGTACGATTTGCATTTTACCGGGTGATGCATAGTAGTGATGGGAATACCGGTTCCACATTAGTCGCGTTACAATAGCGACCGTTCCAGTGAAATACCGCGACAAAATACCGCGATTTTGTAACCGAGGCTCCGGCTTCCAAAGTGTCGCTGTTCCCGCCTAAGTGGTATTTCTGGTTACTGTACAGGGTGGGTCAAATTCGACGCTTTTAAATGGAAACACCCTTTTCTATAGGAGATAGACGAAAACTAATATCGATGTCTGGAGCTCAATTTTCATTAAAAACATGATGGTGAGAACCGCACATCAATATCTGTTACCGTTTCGAAGTTACGGGGTGTTTTTCAAAAATGTGCATTTTTAACAAATCGCTGTAACTTTTTTACTAAGGAAAATTTTGTATTTCTATGAAAACATTTCCAAAGCACCTTTTTACGTAGAATTTAATGGTTTAAGTATAATTTTTTTAAAATTAATAATTTAAGAGTTATCAACAGAAAAATTGATTTTTTATTTGGGGCACCCTCTATATTTTTAATTAACTGAAAAGAATTTAAAATTACCTTTCCAAAAATATAGCACACTTGATATTTTGTTATGATCCCCTTCGAAATACAGAATTTTTAAAAGTTCGCCACTTTTAACTAGTAGGCTTTGGACCCCTTATTGATGATATGCCCTTAATGCAACTCGAAAACATATTTTTCCAGCAAGACGACGCACCGCCTCTGAACGCTGAAGTTATCAGCAAATTTTTGCAGCCAATTTCAAGAATAATTGAATAACTAACCAAGACCCCAGCCGTTGGCCGTCGAGGCCGCCTGACTTAGTGCCCATGGACCTAATCCTATGGATATATTTGCGGAAGAATAAAGGTTCCTTATTCTTCCGTATAATCTAGACAAGAATTAGAAATACTTAGCAGTTATAAGAGGGTATATTTCACACCTACTGAGTTAATGAATTCCGCGAGAAATGTTCAAAAACTGCCCCGTCTGTCCATAACAGAAGACGGTCGATATGTCGAACACCTGTAGCAAAATCTTATGTCTTGGTTTGCTATTTATTTTTATTGTTATTAGATATAGTTTAAATGTGTTGATGTTGGTTAAATATATTTTAAATTGTTATAAAATTCTGCATCTCTCATAGCAAATATTATTTTCGTTTTAATTGATGTTCACAGCTAGAATTTTTGCATTACAGCCGGTGCCGTTCAAAGCCTACCTACTTATTTAAAGCCGGCGAATTTTTATATACTCTATATCTCGAGGAGGAATCGAGCAAAATATCAAGTGTGTTATATTTTTTGGAAAGGTAATTTTAAAGTATTTTCAACAAATTAAAAAATATACAGGGTGTCCCATATAAAATCAAATTTTCTGTTGATAATCCTTAAATTATTAATTTTAAAAAAATATACATAAACCATTAAATTCTACGTAAAAAGGTGCTTTGGAAATGTTTTCATAAAAATACAAAATTTTCCATAGCAAAAAGTTACAGCGATTTGTTAAAAATGCATATTTTTGAAAAACACCCCGTAACTCCGAAACGGTAACAGATATCGATATGCGGTTTTCACCATCATGTTTTTGACAAAAATTGAGCTCCAGACACCGATATTAGTTTTTGTCTATCTCCTATAGAAAAGGGTGTTTCCATTTAAAAGCGTCGAATTTGACCCACCCTGTACCTACCTACTCCCCTCCCCGCCGTTATCTCTGTACCCATGCAAATTTATAAACAATAACAATTCATAAACCCTCCAAATTTGTAAATAATAAACAACATGCAGATGGCTAGAAGAATTTAGCTATGTTAGCTTTTAATTTTGAAAATAAAACTATTAAATAAAAAATATAAAATAATATAATTTATTGGTATTCAATACTTTTTATTTGCCATCTTTTATTCAGACTGAAGAATATCTTTTTATAAGTTTTATATTTTTGCCAATAATATTTAGATTTATATTCGTCTGAAAGACGTTATAAACGTTAGAATTTAAATTAAAATACGTACATTATTTACATAAGATAATTATATCTTTCTATCTTTTTTTCTTAAAATCTGTTTACTTTAGAAATAGTTTAGCTTAAACAATAAAAACTAACATAATTTGAATCATTATTCGATATACCGACGCCATATGCTAAATTTATTTATCTACGTGTATGTTTTTATCTACGTATATTCCTTATTGGTGGAAAAGTTAGAAGTAATTTGTCCGTATTTTCTTTGCCTTGCTGTATATTGCTTTAGTTTTGTGTACCAAGCAACTGCTTCATAGGTAAGCATGGGTCTTTCTATCATGGTATAAATCCAGCGCAAAACGTTAGGAGCGCAACCCTATCTATTTCCCGCCAGTCTTCTGCATATTATGAGACCCTTTGTGGCTTTGTTGGCAATGTTCTTAATATGCCTGTTCCAGAGAAGTTTACTGTCCAAGGTTATTCCCAGATATTTCACTTCCTGTGATGGCAGTATTTCCTTTTCATCATCTTGAAAACTCTTTTCATCATCTTGAAAACTCTCTCAAAACTTGAAAAGAATCTATCTTTTTCATCATTTCAAGATAGATTCTTTTCAAGTTTTTCAGACTTCGCCTTCTGGTGAATGGCACTACCGCGATTTTGTCTGAGTTGATGCTCAGCCCGACAGTCCTGCACCATCTCTCAGCGATGCGGAGTCCGCTTTGGATAATATCACACAGGGTGCCTCATGTTTCCCCCGTGCAATCATGTATGTCATCTGCATACCCTATGCAGTGTATTCCCGCTAGAGTTAATTCGTCTAGTAGTTCATCCACTACCAAGCTCCACAGTAGGGGGAGGTCACTCACCAATAGAGGAGTTCCTTGCGTTGTTTTAACAACTACAGTTTTGGTACCTATCTCAACCTCTGCTGAGGTGTTGACTTAAATAGATGCAGTTTCTCTTAAATCAGTTAAAAAAACGGCTTATCCGAAATTGTTCAAATTTGGTATAAAAAAAAAATCTATTTACAACTTGGCTATAAAATCAACAGGAGAGCCAATGTTTGGGCAGTTAAAAATACAACCTATCTACAAACGACGTCGGCGATGGCTATAAAATGAAGATCGCTGTCATTTTATATGTAAAATTAAATGAAAAATGTCACCGATCGTCATTTCCAAGCCAACCGAACGCCGCGGCCGTTTTATTTTCGATCATACGCTATTATTATTTACTCACCCTCCGGCTTGGCGGACACCTCCAAATCGTCGCTGAGATCCATATCTATGTCACCCTCGTTGTTATCGCTCCTCCTCCCCGGACTCTTGCCCTCCTTGGGCGGGGGCGGGGGAGGGGGCGCGGCAGCCAGAACGGGGAGTGGCAGAGGGGGCGGCGCCAGCGGTGCTTTTGGTGGCGGCTCGGGCGATTTGGGGGGCGGCGGAGGCGGCGGTATGGTCAGGTTGTCCAAACCGAACTGGAGCCGGTAGTCTTGGTCTTTGGAGTTGGACGAGGGAGGGGGTGGAGGTGGACCAACGTCGCTGTTCAGGGTGGACAGTGTCCGGTAGTCCTAGAAAATACACCGTAAATATTACCCTTGTATATGAATTTTTAAAGTAGCTCAACCTAAGACGTTTATGGATGTAAAGCACCAGATGGCGGGGCGTATTTCACAGTCTTTTACTAGAGAAAAATATTTTTTGTTACTCTGAATTTTGAAGCGGCCAATAAAAACAGAGAAAATAAAAATCGATAATTTTCGGACTGTGCCAATTGGTTACTAATCGACCAGATACTTTTTGTCTATTAGATATGCTATAAAAGCTGGTAATTATACAATTCGACCATTGTAAATACCCGACAAATTCCGCAAGGCCGACGAGGTCGATGTTTTTCACTGATAAGAAAAAAAAATGTTTGTTTAGATAATTTTCGAGATATTTTTTCTTTCTGAATGCACATTTTAAAGTATTTTATATTCTTTGTCCGCTTGATCTATTATACTGGTCGCACGTATCGAAGTTTTATTTCTTGTAGTTTTAAAATATTTTCTTGTTTCTTTGTAGTTGTAATGTAAAATTAGATTAATTTATTAAGTTTGATTATAATGTTTAGTGTAGACTACCAGAAGAAATTTAGTAGTGTTTTTATATTTTATTTTGAAGTTAAGTAGTAGGTGAAGGGGTAATTTGGTTAATTTTTCTTTATGTTTGATTAATTAATAAGTTTGATAATTTGTTTAGTGTAGAATACAAGAAGTAGTTTGTGTAGTGTTCTTGTAAGAGATTATATTCATTTATTTTGTAGTTGAGTAGAAGGTGAAGGTATTTGGGTATTTTTTTCTTTTTGTTTTTCTTCTAATAATTATTGTAGTAGTTCTTTTAAATATTGTGATAGATACATTATAATCTTCCTTCTACTTTTCTGGTAGTTGAATATACGAAAAAAATCTGATCAAATTTATTTTAAATGAAATTAATCTAGTCTTATTAATTAATCAAATTAAACTAGTCAAATAATATTAATTGCAATCAATTATTAAAAAATATTAATTATTTTGGAAAATAACTTTTGAAATGGAGTATTATTGATAAAATTTAGCCAATTTTTTTTACCCAGTAGCGTATTTCAATATGATCTTATCATTTATCACTGTATAATAACTTTGTTGTGGCAGAAAAATATACCAGTTAGTTTCAAAATATTATTTTTTTTTCAAACGTCACAAAAGTATTAATTTTTGCGACGTGATTGACAATATAAAAAAGTCATTTTAACGCCTAGGCATAAAAGTAAAGCACTTTACGCCTAAAAAAGTATGAAAATATATTATTAAAATGACATAAGTCTCAAATTCAACGAGCCGTAACCATAGTTTCTCGATATATAATTACTCATGGTACAAAGCAAACTTGAAAACAAGGTATGGTCGATAGGGTCTCCAATTTCGTTCAGTTTGCGCATATCGCCTGTAACGTCATATGCCATACAACAAAATATCCGTATTGTTCAATTGCCACTAATAAAAAAAGACCTAAAATAGGGAAGAATTAAATAACCCCTAAAGTTATGTAAAATCATCGAGCTGGACATTTGAAAAGTTATGACACATAACTTATGACACATAACTAAAAGTTACATACACATTTATTATGTGTCATCTGTTTGAAAATTTGAAATTGGCGCGTGGAGCTTGCCGACCAATATTGCCGTTTATCACCTGTGACCAACCTGCGCAATATCATACCTTGTTTTTTTGTATCATGATAATTACTTACAAGGTATGAGTTTTAAATATGTTTATATTATTTGGAACGTTTGAAATTGTTTAAAACATTATTTGTGGCGTTTGAAAAAAATAGCATGTTCTATTCGGAGTAAAAATGACTTTTGTGCTTCGGCTGTATGTCAAACCTACAGTCTCGCCACGAAAAGTGTCATTTTTACTCCTAATAAAACAATATACTAGAAATTTTTATGTTTTAACGGGCTTTGTGAGTTAAAACATAATGATATTTTCAGTTTTTATAATTCTTGATCGAAAATAAACGGAGTCAGCGATGGCTATGAAATTAAGGTCGCTGTCATTTTATATGTAAATTTATGTGGGAAATGTCGTCGATCGTCATTTCCCTGCCAACTGGATGCCGTTTTTTTTTCATATGGTACAAAGTTAAAGCAAACTTGACTCTGACCATGTTTTACGCTAAGAAAGATTTATTTCGTGTAATAAAGATTTAAATGGTGTATTAAGTACATAATATTTCTTTAAATGTCAAATAATATTATTGAAACAAATGCCAAGTTTTATTTTTAATTAAGAAAAAAATTAATCAAGAATGTATAAATGTTTTGTTTTCAAAAAAAAATTATCTTAAATTCGTAAAACCTCAATTTAGAATAAAATGATGAAAGAATGAAATAAAATGTTATAGCCCTGGATCAAATCGAAATAAAGTAAGTGTATGTAACTTTTTTTAAATATTAATAATTACCAGTAATTAGCATTAATGTACCAACATATTGAAAATTGTTATTTCTTTGTTAAATACGGTTTAGAATCCTTAAAATAACAGCAAAAATAATCGAAAATCGACAATGAAATAATAGTTTTGTTTAAATTTCTTAATCAGCTGAGCCCTATTATAGTTCGCAAAAATCCGAGCTATATTATTACATTACTCTGAGGGAAATACCGCAAATAATCGATATTTTTGACTCCGCCCCTAATCACATGCTTCATTCTTTTAAAGCTTTACGATTTGTTCACCAGAGGCAGCACATTTTGTCGAGAGGTTGACCAACTTTAAGAATATATAAACAAGGATATTACTTTGCTAAGTAATATATTTATAGAATATTTTGAAAATATGTAATACAATAAATAGTTTTTCAAAGAACCCTTATAATATGACTGCGTTATGTGGTTTTGCAATATGGCAACTTAATATTTCTGAAATTGACAGTTTTTAGATTATTAAATATCGCATATGGTATATTTGAAATTGTTCATAACGACAATTTGGCTCGAAATACTAAGGGTGTGGTATCAAATTATTCCTAAAAAAATGCTTTTTCCAAATATACTAATGCGCTACCAGGCCCTAGACACTCAATAGTAATTTTATAGACCTACAAACTTAGCTTTTTAGACAGAATATTGGCGATCCGTCAAGTTATTTTTATATCGTTTTTTAAATAATTATTAATTCAGATATTCCTGATTTGTCGAAAAATTCAGTGATTTGTAGCTTGTGTTTTTATTAGTTTGTGCATTTTGATATTTACAGTCTATGATCATTTTCGTATTAGATATTAAACTTTTTTATTAAAGACATGTTGACATTTTAAAAATAACAAATTTATGAACCAAATAAAAAAATAGTTTAATCATTAATAAGTCAGTACATAGTTGGTAATACAATATAATATTTTTAGTAACAGTTAATAAGTAGCCTATAATATTTTGACTATATTATAATTTATTTGTTACATCAAAAAAATAGTCGTTATGTGCTCTATTATTGTCGGTGTTTAAAATGTATGTATTCATAATTTTATTTTGGTTTTGACTATGTTATACTTCTAATTATTTAATAAAACATAAAATGTGATAAAAAAAGTATATAAGTATTATTTTATACTTTACACGGAATTTTGCGCTTGAATAACGTTACCGCCCAAGTAGCAAATTTTATTTTATAAAGGCTGTATAAACAGCTATGTGATAATTTTTATAGGATACCTCAATTCATATAACGTGCTATATGACCGTAATATGATAGCTTTACAACCAAAAAAGGCCCATTTTTATACAACCGTTTCGTAGTATAGAAGTTCTATAAAAAGGGTATACAACTATTATGCAACTATTTTACACAGCGTTATATGACTATTATAAAACTAGTTTTATTATGTATTACGTGGTCACATCTAAGAAACAGAACAATAAGAACATTTGATCATTTAGCGAGGTACAAGAGTATTTTATTTTTTACCAAAGAATATTAGGAGCAAATTATATTTTAAGCGTGTCGTAAAATGAATCTAGAGGATGTGGATTGTTAAAAAGGAGACTTTACTCGACAATGAAAATGGCGGGTAGAGTCAGAAGGTACAACAAATATGTAATATAAAAAATCATTAATAGGGTTTGAAAAGTAGGGACAATTTTTGTTGCGCCGAAAATTTTACCGGTAGATTAGGTATGTATTTGGCAAAAAATTAAAGCGCTTTAATTTCGATTTAGGTTTACGTATAAATTTAAACAATAAAATAAAATAAAATTTTCAAAAATTCTTGTTTTTAATTTAATTAAACAGTTTATTACTGTATGTGGGAATCTTATCACAAAATAGTTCTCAAAAAAAACATTTTACAATTTATTTTGATGTTTTTAATTTTGCTTCATATAATGGCGGCCATAGGCCATACAAAAATTCTGCCTTAAACATGGCGAATTATAATGCAACCATTTTATTATAAATGAATCCCTTAAATAAGTCTTTGTGGTAAAATAAAACGGTATAAGATAAATATCTATCATTACGCAGAATTTCCAGGCACTATAGAACTATTTTTGACATATTGAGATTTGTGACAAATGGATGTTGGCAAATCTCATTTGATTAGTATTTAAACTAACAAACATGATCAGGTTTTCATGGATTTATGCACGCAATGCATTTCATGCATGCCCGACGAGTGAGCGGCAACCTAAGGACTTGGAAAAACAACAATAAAACAATACAAACATTACTACAGTAAAACTTTTACATCAACGTGGCAACAATGCTTTGAAGAAGCCAGACAACCCGAGAGGTTTTGGCTTTTGGGAACCCAGGGAATTCTCGGGATTATTTGCCGTAATTTCGATGAGTTTTTTCTTACATGCTCTTTATAACTACCACTGCGTATGTTAACTTTTTTCCAACTTTGTCCAGAATTCATAATAGCTGTGATTGATTATACTCGTACGTAGATATTACTTTTGCAACAACAACAATAACAAAATAAATAACTAGGTATACCATTTAATTTAAAATGAGGTTATATTATACATTACCAGTTTTATAATGCAGATATTACAGCGAATTTATTTTGTTAATCACAATTTTATCATATAAGGCTATATAACTAGTGTTGTATACAGCACCGTAGTTTAACGCAATAAAACATTCTATCATACAACGTAATACAACTTTAATAAGACAAGTTTAAGTAACTATTATATGATCTTGTGACTACTAGTTATATGAATATTATAGAACTCTTACATGGTGGGTATAATAGTCTAATAAAATAATATGTTTGTTATCATATAGCACTGCCTTATTAAGTGTTATATCATACTAAAAGAAATTATCGTTTAATGCGTTATAGGATACGTTGTAAAAACCACTAGAAAATAGTTTAATATGACAACTTTTATTAAAAAACAGAATGGTCGAAACCAAACGCTTAATAAAATCAAGCAGTCCTTAAGACAACGCTATTCGACTGTTATAAAATAATTCAATCCTTTTAGAATTTCTTTTTGCTACTTGGGCGGTTTAGTTAGCGTTAATAAGTAACGAAACGCTAAAAATATGTTATGCCAAAACTTTCCATTAGTTTCCTGCCGGATCACCAGGTGGCTCTAAACGACGGACCTATTTGTTTTATATCAGTGTCCAATCTATCTCTAGTACATGGCACAATTACTATATCGTCTATGTGAGCTACGTCTTTGTTCCATTTGAAAAAACTGAGATATGATTAAAAATACAATTTGGGCATCTTTTAACCGGCCAGAACAAGAGATGAAAATCATTAAACGATCAAATCTATTTTTCCAAGGCTCAAAAATTAGTGTTTTTAACACACTCTAGATTTGAAATTGAAAATACGATTTTTTAAGCGAAAATGTCAAAAGTTGACATTTGTTGTCATTCTATTCAGAGTGTCATTTTCTATCGAATAAAGTAAAAATATATTGAGGATGTTATTTAGAAATCAAAAGTTGTAATTATTTCCGGTGAAACAGGAAGTGACCCAAAACAATTGAATACGTCAATCAATTCTAATTTATGTCATATACTAACAGACCAAATCTCGTTTTTTTAATTGAAAAAATATCAAAAATTAGAGAATATATTCTCGAAAAAAACAGTATACAGAAAAATACCAATTTAAAATAAAAATTATAAAATTTTTTGAATTAACTGAAAATCTTACTTGATCGTGGTTTTCCCATAGAGTCTCTTGAGGAATGATGGTAGTCAAATTACTTCTGTCTGCTACAGGAGGTGGTGGATTGACACCATTTACATGATCGGCGTCATCATTTGGAGAGCCGGTCAAACTGATGAGATTTCTGTGATCTACGTCTTTCACTCCAATACTAACGATTGAATCTGACATAAAAGATTTAAAAAACAATACAATAAAAGAAATATTTTGCCCGTATCTGTTATAGCTCGTGCCCTTTCAACTAGTTTAGAAAGTTTAGTTAATTTTAAAAAAAGTTAGTCTTTTGAAACTTAATCTCACCTTAATAAAAATATAATAGTACAAGATTAAATAAAGTAGGGAAAACGAGAATTTTAAGAAAGCTGGTTCTTTAATATATCTTTTGCTGTGCTCTGCTGACCAAAGTGCGGGCCGTCTGGCTGCCGGTAGACTACTGCGGTTCACTACTGCGCATCACATCTGTACAGGGTATCCCATTTTCGTGTTTTATGGGCTTTCTCGTTTATGAATAGAGACAATGGTGCGATTTTCACATTACTTTGCTAGATATTTGTGAAACTAAATATGCTACACATATGTTTGTCCTAACCTCCTTAGTTCCTGAAATACAGGGCGAATTTGTGATGCGCAGTGAATAGATGTTGAATACAGATATGATACTCAGTAGTGAACGAAATATCTACCGGCAGTCAACAGGAGAGCATAACAAAAGATATATTAAAGAACCAGCTTTTTTGCTAGCTAAAATGTTGCTATAGTCTATAAAATGAATAACTTTGAATTTTGACCGTTATTTTTTACCAACATGGCAAATATAAAATCCCTCTGTCAAAAAAGTTACTGATATTCTTTAAATTGAGTGCCTGAACTAGCCTGAACGAATCAGATAGGTAACTCTTTTTACTTTCGTGAAATAGAAAAGGAAAATAATAAAACAAGTGACAAATCTTCCTCTTCTTGCAAAATCAACACGAAATGTCATAATTGACAAAAGTAAAATGTCATCAGCTTTTGACATTTCTAAATATTAGACCAATGCCGTCTCTATTAGAACAGCCACGGAGCGAGATTTATGACGTCACACTAGTTAGATAATACGGATTAATAAATATATTGGAGAATACATGGAAACATAATTATTCCTCGTATTTTTGGTTTGTATTTTAAAAATAATATAGTTTACATGAAATATACATAATATACAGTTAATAAATACAATATAATATATACCTATTTATAGTAATAAATACTTTGGCAAATAAACTATGAACCATACAAATGCAGCAAATGTTTTACAATATACAAATAATGAATAGATGGTACATAAGATAATGGGTAAAATGTAAAATATATTTTAAATTTTGTGGTTCGAAAATCGATCTAATTTAACAAAAAACATTCAATATCTACTAATAGTGATGTATTATTATTTGCATTCACAAAATTTATTTATATATTATAATGTTTACTGCAATTAATAAACTAATATAAACTTGTCAAAAGATGACCACATATTTTTTTAAATTATTATTCTTAACACAAAAACTATCTACATTGACTATGGAGTACGATTTCAGTCATATTGTAAAACATTTGCTGCATTTGTATGGTTCATAGTTTATCTGCCAAAATATTTATTAATATAAATAGGTATATATATATATTGTATTTATTAACTGTATATTATGTATATTTCATGTAAACTATATCATTTTTAAAATACAAACCAACAAATCGAGGAATAATTATTTCCCATGTATTCTACAACATAGTTATTAATCTGTAGTATCTAACTAGTGTGACGTCATAAATCTCGCTCTAGGCTGTTCTATTAGAGACGGCATTGCGTCAGCATGGCCGCAAGTTGCTAACCTAATAAAATTAACACTAGAAAAGCCCGCGGGAACTGTCAAATTCAAAGTTATTCGTTTCACAGACTATAGCTCTTAGACTATAAGTAAAACAACGAAATCGTTATAGAAATGAAAATATAAAATGGCACCAATCACACCATCTTCCTATACCTAAGTTAAAATTAAACATCACATCAACTCAATTACATGCATAATAATATACATATAGTCAGTCCAGCGAGAGACAGGACAGTGCCAGTTGTTATGTCGTTATAGTTGAAAAGTCTTACTTTCGTATTTTTTTAAGTTATCTGTCGAAATCATACATTCTCTCGCTGAACAAACTTTACATACTTTGTTACTACTACACGTACCTAAATCTCCCAGACCAGGTAACACCCTTTGATCTACGTCAGCTGCGCCAGTCGACATAGAACCGTCATGGTATTCCACCGGATTACCATATCCTTTAACCAGGTTAAATACACATTTAGTCGAAAAAATATTAACATACCAATAATTACATCTAACAGAATAAGCCAAATATATTTGAGACAAATATTTTTTTAAGTTGTTCGCTATATTACCCTCTGACACAAAAAAACATCTAGAACAATACAAAGAACAGTTTGTTAAAAGAAATTTCATTATACTAATTTTTGACATAACCGGAAGCAGTAATAGTATTAGCAGATCATCAGGCAAACTACACTAATTACTACAGCGATAATTGAGGTATTCATATAATCCAATGTTACTGAAAATTCACAGAATTGAAAATTCATAGAAATGAAAATCACAGATTATACAGATTATAAACTTATCGTCAAAAGCATTGATTTTCGTGGTTCCCATTTTCGGAGTCGCGCACTAGTTAGGGTACTAGTTTGCGCACATAGCACGCCCACTTATGGCCTCTAAAATTGTGCACAGCGCCTGAGCGGCCCAGTTATTACGCTGTTTAAACGCGAGTTTATTTTTGCGCACAGGAAAATTGACTCGTTTGCTCATCGTTGTAATGAAGTTCATAAAAATTTCTACATTCACTCCTGGGACACCCTATATATTGTGTTAAATAATATTATACTAGAATAATAGGGACTTCATTTTCTTTTAATAATGACAGTCAATGTATTTTATTGTTAATTGTTAAATCATTATTGTAATGAACTTCATTAGTGTTCCGATTGTTGAATTAAATAAGTTAAATATTTAATTGCCATATTGTAAGAGAGTTTTGATCGGTTTTGGTCGCTATAGTTTGTAACGAAAATATTTTCGTTACATTTTTCCTTTTATATCGTTTATCCGTTTTTTTTATATATTATCGATTTTTTGCGGAACCTCGATAGTGGTACACATCACTAGCGATGGTTGTTAGTTTAAATTGTTTAAATATTTTATATATTTTCTGGTTGCCTATGGGTTACCGATAATAATTTGTTTATTTTTAATGAAAACGAAGGTTTATTATTAATATTTTGTTTAGTGTTAAATAATTAAGATGCAATTGTTACACACATTTTTTTTGAAGGTATGTAGGAAATTTTATCGTATGTATTATTTTTACTATTAATTATAAATTTTTATATTGACATTTGGTACTTAACGCATGTCTAAATGAATGGGAGAATTCTATAAAGGGACTTGTTTTGCCGAAAATCACTCTCTCTCTCATCTCGATCTTCTTTGCTTAAACACCTAGTTTTTTTTCCAGACACCGGCACGAGGTACGACTTGGAAATTATTTATTAGTTTTTTTTAAACATTTCTTACTATCTAATATGAGTTAATTATTTGATTTAATTATTTAATTAGCTTGTAACTTTAAATTCCTTTTTCTATTTTATCTTTTTATCTCACAGTTCATTTTTTTTATCATCATTTCTTTATCTTCTTATCTTAGTAGCACGTGTATGGTAGTTTTGTACAAATTTTTCTAATACCTTTAACTTTTATTTAGTACTAATTATTTTTATCTTTCTTATTTATGTACTGAGACGCAAGCTGTCGAACAGGAACCGCAGAGGTGTTCGATTTAGCAATCTCAGGGGCCATGAACAGAATCAATCACTGAAGGAGTACTCTCAGAGACGAACCAGGAGGGACTCTGGTAAGTAAGGATTTTTTAATAATATTTATATTATACGACTTATGTCACCTTTAACGAATCCTTGCTTGCCAGAAGGCAACTCTTGTTTTATCTGGACCCTGTAGTGGTGGTGTCTATTGGCAGGCCATTCGACAGATAGATTTTTGTTTTTTGTTGTTTTTGGGTCACTCTGGGGAACGTATCTTTACCTCGTATCTGCCAAATTTACCTTACCTTATCTTTATCTTATTTAGCGGATGCATTATCTTCGTTCCTGGAGTGACATATCTTTTCTTTTAGTTTTTATCTGTCGAATTGAGCATTTATCGTTTTTCGTATCTTATCTCTATCTTTCTATTTACCTTTATCTTTCTATCTAGTTTTTTTAATTTATCTTTTAATATCGCATTTTAATATTAACTTTTGTTCTAATTTAAATTTTCCTACATTTCTAGTTTTTTTAATCTTACATATTTTTTTATTCTTTTTACACGTGTCTACAAATTAAATCAAATAATTTACTGTAACAATATATTTTTTTTTTCAAGTCGTACCGAAGTGATTGTGTCGTCTGGAATTTTCTAGAGAGAGAGAGCAAAATATTTTTCTTTTATATTTTTTTATAATTCTATATTTATATTCTTTAAATAATTTGGACAATCTTTTCAATTATAACTAATTTAAACTGTCATTGCCTATTTTCTTTTTTAAATTTTAATTATAATTTTTACTATAATAATTAGTAGTTGGATTTAGATATTGATTATTGTTTATTTGAATCACTAATATGTTGTTTAATCATAAGTTATTTTTATTGTACCTTCATTGGCAACCAACAGACAGTTCAATTGGTAATTTAGAACACCACCACAAAACTGGGTACTTATCAATTGTGTTGAGTAGAATACTGCTGTTTGTTATCTTCTAGGAAGATACGAGAATTGACCCTCCCCATAAGTAGCTCACGCACTGAGACTGGTGGAGTCTCACAAGCTCTCCAACGTTAGCCGGACAATCACGCTACCCACCAGCGGACGAGTGCAGCGAAGAGGGTGAGGCCTTTCTCCCAACCAACCGAAGCAGAAACACTTAAGTATTCCAGTTGCATATCTAATCTCATATAATCGAGACTGTCACAGCCAATTACATTGATTGTTTATAATTGTTAATTAAATATAAGTCATTAATGAAATTTTCTATTGTCTTATTTAATTCCAAAGCATACTTCCACAAACCAGTAACTTTTAGAATTTTGTGGGTTATAAGTTTAATGCGAGAAATCGAGCCGTTCGCGCAGATCGCCCTACTCTGCTAGTGCAGGTTGAGTGGAGGGGAGCGCGAGTCGAGTACCTTGGCTGCAGCAGTTCCAGAGAGACAGTTTGTGGTCGCACGCGAAACAGTGAGGTCGAGTCCGGAGTGCCTGCCAAGTGACCTGCTGCCAGCCGCCGATCGCCGCCGTACTGCGCTAGGTAAGCACCAGCCGTCGAAGTATTCGAAGGTAGGTCGTATCCTTGTTATGATTACTAGCGGTTATTGTACCACCTAGGAGCGTTTTAGGGATAAGGGAGAGCGAAGGTTTGCCGACCAGACGAAAGAGAGAATACGGGGTGCTAGGGCAGGTGCCGGAAACTATGTCCCTTAAGGGTAGTCTGACAACTGTCCCGGTATAAAGTAACCTCCCGGGAAAAGCTACTTAAGGGCAAATAATTAATTTATTTTATTAACAGAGTTGCCGAGCAGGCGAAAGAGGGAATATGGGGTGCTAGGGCAGGTGCCGGAAACCATGTCCCTTAAGGGTAGTCTGACAACTGTCCCGGTATAACGTACCCCTCGAGGAAAAGCTAATTACGGGCTAATAATTAATTAATTTTCTTAAGGGACAGCTAAAGTGGTTCAGTAAACGCACGGGTCGCGAATATTTATGGGGCTAGAACAGGATCTCGCCCAAATCCCGAGGCTGGTTTTGTCGCTCCCGTATTTCTCTAGGTGTGCCGTCCGGACGGCATCCTGCAACAGTAACGCTGGACGGGATCTCGCCGAAATCCCGAGGCTGTCCTGACCGGGCTGTGTGTGTACGTGCCGCGCTTATCCGAACGCCGTACAACTCGCCGAGATGTCGCTAACGTCAACGTCACTCCGGGACTCGCGTTTGTGTATCCCACGGGACGCGGTTAACTTCGCGATCGATCCAGGACTCGCGTTTGTGTATCCCACAGGACACGGTTAACTTCGCGATCGATCCAGGACTCGCGTGAGTGTGTCACGGGACGCTTTTAACTCCGACGCCGATCCGGGGTCCGTATTTCGCTGTCAAAAAGGATACTGCTCCGATAAATATTTAGCTGTGACCATCGGGACGCCTGTAACGACGTCGCCGCCGTTTAGAGAGTCGCGTCGTGGTAGAGTGTGTTGCTCCGGTATCTACGTGTCTGTGTTCATTAGGACGTCACTAAATCCGACGCCGATCTGGAACTCGCGCGTGTCTAATAGAACGTCACTTCGGGAACGCGTTTTGAGTTCGCGTGATAGAATCAGTCAGAGAGTTACGTATTGGGAATAATCGATCAGAACTCTAGAGGTACACGGTTGTTATTGTAAATTTTACTTTACGGGTTTCTAAATATACATTTTATTTCACTATTGTTACAATTCGAGAACGTGAACTTTCCTTGATTACTTTTGTACATAATTAATTTGTTAAATAAAAACCTAGTGTTACGTTATAGTTAATTGTGTTTTATTTTCTTTTCATCTCATCACTCCCTGGTGTCTCCACTGTATAAAAGCTACCCGTACTGGCACTAGTGGTCTCTCAAACACTTTAAACTTTGGGGGGTGGCGCCCGAGGAACCGAACCAAGGCATCTCGGCGTCCGTGAGCGTTCTCAAAAACGGAGAGAGCCTCACATCGTCATAAAAAACAATTTTCGTACCACAAATTAGGGACAAGATTTTTATCTGTATAAATATAGTATACCTAATATGTGGTATAATTAACTTAAAATACTACTTAATACTATCGGAGGACAAAAAAAATCAGTGCTGAAGTAGTCAAAAAGAAAAAGCATATAGTCGGTAATTATCTGATACCTTTCTTCTCGAACATGGGAGGACTTTCGGGCGTATCGCAGTCCTTTAGCTCGTTCCAAATGTCACCTGCGTCGTCCCATCGGGTCGGCAAGTCGCTGGGATCGTAGTTGGCTTCGGGCGGATAGGGATTCACGCCAGTTTGTAACTGGTAGTCGTAATGGCTATTCGTAGCCGTCGAAGGACTGTAAGTAGATCCGGAGTATGTCGCTACCGACGTATCGTAAGATCCCGCTGTGCAAATTTAAGTAATGTAAGGGTTGATTGTAAATAGTTATAGAGATGGTCCACGCTACCCTGTTTTTAGTACCCTTTTTTGTAACTACTTTGAATAAAAATGTTAAGGAAGGAGCATATCAACAAACTATGTTATTAGTTATTAAAATTAATAACAAAAATACCAGAGACGCTACTGAAACACACTGACTGAAGTCAAATTGACGTATCCTAATTATTTTTGACAAGTAGTAAATGAAAGCAAAAATGCACGAAACAATACAGGGCGTTCCTTAATGACATGCTAATATTTAAGGAGGTGATTCTTGGACCTATTCTAAGAAAAAAACTTCATATGAATATATGTCCTAAACATCTTAACTTTTCAGATACAGGGTAGTAAAATTTACGGCGTAGAAAGCCTTGTCTAGTAAATAAGATTTCAATGCTTTGCGAAATGAAGAAAATGACGTTATGGATTTGATTTCAAATGGCAGGTGATTGTGCATTTTTTTCGAGTTGTATAATATTGAACTTTTAACTAACTCTGAGCGTGGGGTAGGTAGATATAGATCTTGCTCCGCGTTCCTGAGTGGATAAGTGTGAGATGGCCTTTCTTGAGAAGCTGATACATGCTTACGTATTAGGCAAACGGATTCAAATATAAATAAGGAAGGAAGAGTAAATATTTTTAATTTTTAAAAAAAGTCCTGGCAATGGGTTCTGCTGTTTAGTCCCAGTGAATATCGAACAGCTCTCTTCGGGAGCCTGAAAATGCGGTCAAATTGAGTCGCACAGACGTACCTCAGAATGGAAGGGAATATCTGAGGTGCGACTCAAAACGTGCATAATAAACAGTTCTAGTCATTGACAAGTTAAGCTCCTTACAAACAGATCTTAATGCAAAACAGGCAGAGCTCAATTTTTTCGACAAAGCGTCGATATGCATGTCCCATTTTAGAGAACTGTCTACAACAAGCCCTAAGAATTTTACAGATTTTACGACGTCAATGGTGGTGTTGTTAAGTACAAAAGGCTGCAGCGAGTTTTTATACGACAAAGCTTTAGAAGAAATGTTGAGACTCAGGAGGTTCGAATCGTACCAAGATTTAATGGTGATTAAGTCGTTTGATATAATCCTATGAGGTACCGTGACGTCCTTGTTGCTCCAAGTGAAGCTAGTGTCGTCCGCAAAAAGACATATTTTACCACTGATGTTTATGTTAGCAATGTCGTTAATAAAAAGAAACAAAATAAGGCCTAATACTGAGCCTTGAGATACAAGTCTTCCATATTTTGATATACCAAAAAATTGTTTTATTTTTTAATTTCCTTCCAGCCGATGCAGAAATGATTTCCACACAACAATCACTGCGTCAGATTTTCAGCGATATGACCATGAAGTAAACTGACTTTAATTTTTTTAGGCAAAAACGAACGAAAAAAATCAGGAGATAAAAAATGTTTAGAAATGAATGGAAATTTTGAAAATAATTTTTATTTTAAAAGAAGTCAGTGGTGTACCATTTTTTTCTTCAAAAATATTCAATGTAAAACCCGTACGGACGGCACTGGTTGAAATAAATAAAATTCTTTGTATACCAAAAAAGGTATTTTGATCCATAAAATACGTCAATCAAGTTTCATAAAGATATCTATAATAAAATCAGAGTCATTATGAAAAAGAGTTTTTTTTTAGAAAACTTTACCACCCACCAGAAATTACGATGTTTAGGACATACATGCATATGAAGTTTTTCTCTTAGAATAGATCCAAGAATCACACCCTTAAATATTAGCATGTCATTAAGGAACACCCTGTATATAATTAGTTAAATCTAAGTGAATTTTATAATTGATTGTAACGTGTATATTATAGTTACTTAACAATGGAAAATTTTCTATCGATTTTTGACTGAAATCAATCACGCGCTGCACAACCAACTATTTTACACTCTTTTTTTATGGAATTCGCAATAATGTAACTGTTAATTTAAGTTCTAACACAATATCATTCTAGATTTACTACCAGAAAACAAAAGCGTAATAAAAAAAAATAAATAATAAAAAACAAGCTCAGTAACGATTGACAAATTCACAAAATTTCAAATCAAATTCAAACATGTCAAACGAAACGTCAGACAAAACGGTCAAAAATGGGGGGTGATGATGTCAATTCCCCCACTAATGCATGCGTATATAAAATAATATTAGGCTCCTTCCTTTTGGCCCTTTTATTCAAAGTATTTAAATAACTATAACAACAAATAGCATGCATCTTTTTAAAAAATATAGAGTGCGTTAGCTTTAATAGAACAGTTGTTGTATACTGTCCGCTAAATGGATCAAGTATATATGGGATATAAATGGCAACACTGTATTCCAGTAACCGTAAAATGAGCCGTTTTTTCCATAAAATGAGCCGTTTTTTCCATATTATGTAGTCAGCAGTCTTGTTGTATAAGTTTAGGTATATTTTTTTTCTTAAGTACAAAAAGTACATATTTAACAGTGTGATATATAAGATTATGCCATTTTAATGTTAAACAATGTCGTAACCTGACTTTTAAAGTAGTGAAAAAAAATATTAAATATTAAAAAGTAAAGATTCTTCTTAATACTAGAAAAAGTGATATTTTTTACAATACTTACCAAAAGTATTTGTACCCTCCATTGATGAATTGAAACTGAAACCGCCATCATCGTTATTTTTCGAAAATGGAGGCATCGGAGGTGGCAACAGTGGATTATACACGGCGCTTCTAAAAGGATTTCAATTAGTATTTTATTAACGAAATTATTAAAAGTAATTAAAAAATAATGCTGTAGGAAAACCAATGGAAGTTGGCGTGCACCAAGGATACTATATAGAGATAAGGATAGTTCGATTCCTATCTTCCTGCACCAGGTGGATGACACTTCTTATGGGAGAACTGGCAATGGTTGAAAATTTGACTACAAGCGATTTTCTAGGAATCTTCCTTACCGATAAATTATTGACAAGAGTGACAGATAAAGCCTTGACGTTCTTTCAGTATTCCAGTTCATCTCTTTTTCTTTCTAAAGTGTGCGTTGAAAGGAGACAAAAACAATTTTTGGTGACCCATAATTTGTTATTCGAACACCACTTTTCTCCTTGTCGGGTCGTTGACGTTGACTTGTCGCCATTTTATTTCTTTTGTTTACACGCTGCATTTTGCTTTGCAAATTTAATACATAAATTATTTAGGCAAATATATAGGTTTTTAATAAAACTCCTCGGACTAACGTGTAGGTAAGTGTTGATAATTTTTTTTTCATCTTAACATGCTCATTGTCGTTCTCCTGATTTTAGGTGACAGAAAAGGATCATCAAATCAAATTGAATTTTATATTTTCCTTCCTATTTATCCTTCCTAAATATCAACGAGATGAGCCATCGGAAGAAAGGGACCATAGTACAAAACAGAAAGGTGATCTTTTTTCTTTCCACTTCGGATATTGAAATTATTATATACTGTAGTCGTGTTCGGCATTATGCTCTGAGAAATATAGATAAACAAAGAACAACAGATATAAAGCATCCCAGAGGAAAAGAGAGGCAATACCTGTATGTACTCTCTCTGATATTTGTGAAAGTTACAGCAAAGTATTGTTGTAAATGTCATCTTTTTGATCGACCTGAAAACTTCGAGCAAAAAGATGACACTTTCAACAATACCCTGACAGATATCAGAGACGATACAGGTTTTTCCTCTCTTTTCCCCTGGAATACTTTTAATTTATTATTCTTTGTTTATCTAGATTTCTCAGAGCACTATGAACGAACTCAGCTTGTATGTTTGAAATAATCGTCCAGTTGGCTTAAAAATGATGATCGAAGACATTTCCCATATAATTTTACTTTCAAAATTATGATATATCTTTTATTTCTAAGCCATCTATGACGCCATTTTTTTCAGTTTTGTTATAATTAATTTTGTCTCTTGATCTACTTGTAACATTATTCTTTTAATTTTATTAATTTATTGTGGTGAAATTAATTTCTGTTGTATATTTGATATTGATATTAAACATATTTTTAAAAAATGGTGTATTTTTTGTGTTTTTGTGTATGTCATAATTAAAAATAAATGAAGAAATAACATTTTTTTTTTTTTAAACTTCCCGCCATGCGTGACAATTTAGTCCGTAGTTCCTACAAGCGAAATTGGGGGCGCTAGTAGCAGTAGACTTGTCAACAGTGTCAAATTTAAACGTCAATTTCACTTTCCAATATTTAGCAAGGCGCTCGCACTTCTTCTTGTGTATGTGTTTTGTGTCCTGCACTGTCAGTTTTTTTACGTCATCTACTGACCGAGTTGAAGTTGGCGCTAAAGATTTTAGACAGTGACAGTTATGTTTGCATTTGACGGACGAGCGCACAGTGCGTTGGAAGATAAATTTAGCGGGACAAAAGCGTTTGGTTAGAAATAAGCCAAAAATTTGTTTTTATTGACATTCCAATTGATACAAAAATGCATGAATATTCTTTGTATTTCGATACATTTTTATCAACCAAATTTGGTCGTTTTCTGCTCAGCAAGGCAGAGATCATACGAAAACAAAATATTTACAAGTGCTTATACATTTTATTAGAAAGCCAAATTACGTATATTATTTGTTAAAATCCTTCGTGCCTTTGTTCTGCAGATACCAAACTTTCACTTTTTTTTCAAATATCGATGTATTGAATGATGTAGATCTTTTGAGTTACCAATAGTTACCAACACAGGTAGTCACAGTCACAGGGAGTTCAAGCTTAACAGTTGAATGCCCAAAAAGATTCATTTCAATCAGATATTATAAAAACAAAACAACTCCATCAAAACGCAGTGAGTTTAAAAAATTGTCTTAGATACTTACTATATATGAATTTACAATTACCGAGTGTTAAAATTAAAATTAAAATATCTATCTTATTTATTATTTTCAAAATAAAATATATTTTTTAAAATAAATTATAGAGGGTGTCACAAGATTACAAATTAATGAAAAAAAAACTGCTAAAGAGTTTTTTGATATCATAATTTTATGTATTTGGCAATAGTTTACAATACGGTTTTTGCGTGTCATGTACGAATAATATCATAGTTTTATTATCTTGTATTTATTTATTAATAAATTAAGTTGTTAATAAATAAATAAATTTAACCATATAGTTGCTATATATTAGACCATTTGCTACGTTCTTAGATTTTAAGTCCCAAACATTGCTCTTGAGATTTTGTCCCGCTAGAATAACCATCCGCCGCACTGTGGAGCGCTGGTCAGCGCGTGACGTAGCATTCCACGGCGACTACGACAGCGGCGATTTGACGCGATCGAACAGTCCTTTAGAATATATACAGTCCTTGGGCGTGCACGTCATCAAAATATTTGACACATTATACAATGTTGCCACAATTACTTTTTTTTACTTTGACTTTTGACAAGTGTTAAATAAAATTCGTAAGTTTGTCACCGATTTCTTACTTCAATTTTAGACACAAAACATATACAAATATTTTTGTATACCTAAATTATTACGTGTCTATAATTATTACACAAACAAATTCTAATTAAATGAAGTTATTTAGTTTGGTTGAGTTTTTTATGGCTATTACGCTATTATGTACACTTCGCACGAAAAGAAGTTCTAAAAAGAACAATGTTCGACTGCAAGGTCTTCTAGTAAACATTTTTAACTTAAAGTAACACAACATTATTATTTATTTAAACCAAAGACTCGGAAAACAAAACTAAAATGTCAAAACGAATGAAAATGTCAGGAAATAAATAAATAAATGCGGCAGCTAGAGATTTTTTTACAGCAGAGCCACCACCTGAAACCTCAGAGCGAAATTTAAATTCCGGTTAGTCAGCACGGCGCCGAATACGTCCCTCCATTACCCAAGTAGCATCTATCTGACTTCGAACTAAATCTGACCTGAAGCGACGTCAGACTTTGTGCAAATTTAGGTCGGGTGCTGGTGATACGACCTGTGACGTCGCTTTCCTATTAAAAGCGACGTCGTTGGATCCGAGTCGGTAAATCCAACGTCCAATTATATTTTGTTGTATTCTATGTTCATATTTATAACCTAATTTACGTATCTCTATTTACGTCCGTATTACGTATTACGTATCTCTATTTACGTACGTTACAACCCATTAAGTAGTATTTGCGACCTAATGAACATAACCTAATAAAAAGTTTTTGTAAATAAACTTAATTTTTCTATTACGCCTAAAAAACACTAAAAAGGCATTTAGACATTCATCTACATTCTACAGAAAGATGTCGAGGCTTTTGCAAAATAATAATAGTAGTAGTGATGTCTTGCCTCCACCCATAAATGCTTTTTATCTGGAAGAGATGCTACATTACACTGGTGCATCTTAATTTCATTTTTTAGCTTAGGAAACCAGCAGACCCCATCCTCCTCCCACATGTGAGGTTAGGCTTAAAAAAGTGGCTGCCCATTTTTTAAGGAGAAAACAAAAACTAAAATATAGTTGCACAAATCCACAAATCACTGATACGCAAAGTGAGGTTACGTGGCGTACGTTGGAATTATATACGTCATAATACGATTGCCGGTCGTCCGGTTTGATGACTTCGGTCGTGTGAGACGACTAATATTGGAGACCCGATCGGAATTGGTATATTGGTAGTTCATATTAAGTCGGACACAGAAATCCGCCATTCTTAACACGTATCCGATTGTCAGCCATTTTAAAATCGTTTTTGTTTTTAAAATTTATATTCACATTTCGATTTCTAGTAGAATAATATTGATAAGGTTGAGTTTGGGAGGAACGACAGTACAGTTTTATGATTAAACCAGCTAGAAAATTAAAAAAATATTTTGCGAGTAACTTTTTTATAGCTATTTTTAATTTCATAAATCTACCTAATTTTGAAGGCGCTCGTTGTTTTCCGGAGCATTTTAATCAGATATATCAAAAAAGTGACTTCCGTTGACAAAACTGATGTCTGGATTAATGATTCAGAATTATTATAATATGAAATTAGATAGGCACTTATAGTTATATTCGAGGAGTGATCATGAATCCATTTGTAATTAGGTAGTTTGGTTAGGTTTTTATGTATTCTTGGTAGCGAATATGAAACCAAACGTAACGTAAGTGCTTAGCGACGAATTTTAAGTGACTAAAATCCAACGTAATATGACGTTGGTAATTGGTAGAATTACATTCCCTATTAGGTCAGATACCGACGTCGAGGCGACCCGAATCTGTATTCCCCATTTAGGTGCAAATACGGGTCGTCAGGCGGTCGAACCGACGTTGGTACCCGACGTCGGGTTTATTGAACGCGACGTATACCCGACGTTAGATAACGTCCAAATGCTACTTGGGTATGTAAATGAAAATATAAATTTGAAAAGAAATGCAGGGTTTGCTAAAAATCTGGCATGCATGGTCTTGATCTTGTAGAAGTCTTGCACTGGTCTGTCTTTGACTTGCTTTTTGTGCAAGACCAAGACAGCAAGACCAAGACCAGTCTCACTGATCACTAGAGAAAATAATAACGCGACTATGTAAATTCAAAATGCTGCAAAAATAAAAAAAAATAAAACTTACAAATCATTTTCGCTGGCTTTTGAATCAATCGGTACAGGAGGCTGAATTAAATCTGTTGAAGTATTAGCATAGCTGTTTGATGTTTGTGAATTATTCAGTGCACTACTGTTATTCACCGAACTAGTAAACAGTCCACTTGCACTGATATTCTTCGGAAAAAAATGGATTAAAATAAATATTTTGAGGTTAGGGACATAGAATTACTTACCGTAATATCGAAAGACAGGTTCTGGCCCAGAAAACTGGTGAAACCGTTCGATAAAAAACTGAGGTTACTCTCATTAGTACCGGCAGTGGCCGTCGTGTTTGCCAGGGAATTTGTACTGGTATCTAAATGTGGAGCCACTGGATTATAATAGCCCGGATTGGTGAATTGTATCGTCGCAGACAAATCCACTGAAGTATCTGTGGTAAAAACAAGTGAAACTACCGTATGATCAAAAAAAAAAACGGCGTCAAAGATAGCTGAGGAATGACAATCGATTATAATTTTGGCGAGGTTAATTTACTAAAAATTGTCAAAAATTTACATTAGTAATTATAGAAAGATTAAAAAAGAATAGAACCGTCTTCAGACACACCAAATCTATTTCCAAAAAATTGGCGCCCATACTAAAAAACTTTGTTTAAACAATATTTCATATTTTTTTTTAACTCAACAACTGCGACTTTGACTGATTTTGATGCTATTACAAATTTTGTTGCAAATATTATTCCTAATCTTAAATTGAAAACCGCGTTTCGCTAGCTACTGTAATTTTGGAGTTACAATTTTTTTTAATTTTTAACCCCCTGCCATACCCCCTTACCAACCCCCCACCCCCACCAAAAACCAAAGGCCAGATTCTCGGGTGCCACAGTATTTTTGTCACAAATTTGGTTAAAATCGGTTTAGCGGTTTTTGAGTTATTGTATTACAGACAGACGGACAGACAGACACCATGAAAATATTTTGTATTTAGGTCATTTATGTGACCCAAATAACTCATTTTGAGTGAAATTAAAAAAACTTTTTTTTGCCGATCTTAATAAGGTTAAAAAAATTTTCTCGAATTTTTTAACTACGCCATTTAAAAATCATTTTTACTCAATACAGAATCAAATATTATGATTGAATTTTTAGAAATTTTCAGTGATGGGATCGTTGGAGGACTACTAAAGCTACAATTTAAAATTATTTTCAAAAGGTACAGAGTGTCCCAAATGAAAAAATATCAAAGTTGAATTTTTTTTAAATGGAACACCCTGTATATTATTATATTTTTAGTTTCTACGATTAAAATTAAGGTATATTTTATTAAGGTTTATCGCATTTTAATCTTACCGTTTTTGAAATATTTACAATTTTGTGAAAATGCAGTAACAATTTTAATGTTTCATTTTTCTAGGCGTATTTAAGTTTTTAGAACCAAATATTGGATTTAAGTTTTTCTATTCTTCTACTAAATGTTGTGTTGCAATAATAAAAATAATACTACCTTTTACAGAGTGTCTCAAAATTTTATATTAAATAATTACTAGGTAGCTTTAAATGGCAATAACCTGTTTAATTTAAATAACCTGAACACCCGGTATATTTTACGTGAATCAGATACACAATTCAGTTGTATATCAAATTGTATTATACCATTTTTTATCTATTTCTTCAAGTTTTTATAATTTTGACCTCATTTATCAATATGTCTGTCAACAAAATTTAGTTTTCTACTGCAAATTATAAATTTGTGCATATTGAAAGACCGTACAAAGTTTGAAAACAAATACTCATATACGAGGCATGTTTTTTAAGTAAGTACCGTTTTGGAATTAAAAAAAAACGTGCAAAGATATCGCAATAATTTTATTTTTACATGAAAGCCTGTACCTTAATCTACTTTTCTACATAATTTGCGTGAATATTGAGGTACTTGTCATAACGTGGCACCAGTTTTTCAATACCCTCCTCATAAAATTCTGCCGCCTGACTGGTTAACCACTGTATCACAACTGTTTTGACTTCGTTATCGTCTTGAAGACGCTGACCGCCCAGGTGTTTCTTCAAGTGCAGGAATAAATGGTAATCACTGGGCGCCAGATCACGGCTGTATGGAGGATGATCTAGAGTTTCCCATTTAAAAGATTTGATGAGATCTTTGGTCCGATTAGCCACATGTGGACGGGCATTGTCATGCAGCAAAACACTAAGTTTACTCAACTTGTCACGTCTTTTGTTTTGGATTGCAACGGCGCAGATTGTTCAATGTCTCACAATAAGATGCTGCATTGATTGTCTCATTACGAGGCAGAAACTCCACTAGCAATCTTTCTTTTCTGTCCCAAAAAGTGTGCACATGATTTTCCGGGCAGAAATTGTTTGCTTAAACTTCACTGTTTTACTGTTGTTTCGATTCTGGTGTGACGTAGGCCACCCATGTTTCGTCACCAGTAACAATTTTGTCTATAAAAATCTTCACCTTCATTGTGGTACTGTTCAAGGAAAGTCAATGCATAGATCCTAAACGTTGGGTTTTGTGCAAATCCGTCAACATTTTCGGAACCCAACGTGAACACAACTCCGGTTTTTTGTAGTTCTCGGTCACATTGTGATACACTACGAGAACATTGAGGAAAGTAGTCGCACAATGATGAAATTGTAAAGCGTCTGTTTTCTTTCACCTTTTCGAAGGACGCCCACTCCGTTCTTCATCATGCACATTTGTGCGGCCATCTTTAAATGCTCTCACCCATTTCCTTACCATTCCATCACTCATAATATTTTGTCCGTAAACTTCACAGATCTCACGATGAATATCGATCGGTTTTACGCCTTTAGCACTAAGAAATCGTATGACAGCCCGTACTTCACAATCGGCGGGGCTCACGATTGTCGGAGGCATCTTAAACACTCAATAAACAACGTATACAATGAAGAATCAGACCGTACTGGCGTCTGTGCATAGACAAGAGATGTAGGTAACCAGCGCGCATGCGCGGAACGCCGACCGTAGCGCTGCGGCGGCAGAATCGCAAAACGGTACTTACTTAAAAAACATGCCTCAGACTTTTCGAGTTATTCGTAATTCAATTTGAATCCTTTCGTCGAGGCGGGAAAACGCTGCTAGGAGAGCTACCATGGGTGTGACGTCACATGCTCGCTAATCGCGCGTAGCGCTTTACCAGAGACATAACAGACGGATCCTTTGCGCCGTTTTCTTGTATCCCTGTCTAGATTTAATTAGATTAGTTATGTAGTTGTAGTCAAGTTTTATCTGTACTACAAGTTACGCCACTGTATTCAGAATTATTTGTACCGATTCTGTTTTACGCTTAGTCATAAACGACCCTTGAATTATCATTAATCGATGGAAAGTCCTTATTGTAAAATTATATAGCCTCTGTTCAGACACATTTGTATTTTACGCAAACAAAGGTCTACTATAGTTTTAACACTTAATCCACAGAATATCTAGCTACGCAACAGAAAAATACTCGAAATGAAAGAGCTAAAATTGCACAAATAAAATACTAGATGGCGCGACAATATCATAATCAGAATATAATTGGAAATGTTCAACTTTCGGTTTTGGATCGATGTAGATCGACGGCACGTCGACGGCCTTCAAGCTCGGCAAAATATGCACAGTTGCCAGATTCAAACAGACTTTAATTGGCATCCCATTCTTTTCTGGTGTATAATAATTTCTTTCTATTATTCGTTTCTTGTCAGATACACTTATATAAATTATTCGTTTGGCTTTTAAAATTAGAATAAATTAATAAAAATAAAAAATAAATTAGAAAACATATGCTCTCAAAATACATTTTTAATATACACTACTTTATTATGTTAACTAAGAAAATAACTTTAATTACCTTTAAAATTAATAATATACAGGGCGATTGATAGTGATATTTATTAATGCTGAAACGTTAGTAATGAAATATACGTTTAATAATAATGGAAATGATTTATTAAAATGCAGTACAAAAAATGTTAATTGTCTAAAAAAATACTATAATAACAAATTTTTTCTGTTTGTCATGTTATTTATATAGCTCTAGGTAGATTTTAAAAAGTGACACAGGTACAATTAATAATATATTAGTTCGGCATAAAAGTTGGTGTCACGACATCGTACAATAAATTAAAATTCGTAAAATAAATTAAAATTATTAATTAAACAAATCTGTATAAAGAAACACAAGTATATCAAATTTGGGCCCAATCGAACGCCAGGAAAAGGTATCGTAATATGGTACTACATTATGGTACCCCTTGATATGCTTCATGGTACCATAATATTGCAATGTCATCAAAAATACGCAAGTATAATAAAATATGAGCTCAATCGAAAGACAGGAAATGGTATCGTAATATGGTACTACATTATGGTACCCCTTGATATGCTTCATGGTATCATAATATTGTAATGTCATCAAAAATACGCAAGTATAGTCAAATATGAGCCCAATCGAACGTCAGGAAGTGGTATCATAATATGGTACTATATTAAGGTACCACTTTATATGCATCATAGTACCATCATATTAAAATGTCACTGAAGATACTTACTATACCAAGTATAAATCCAATCGCACGCCAGGAAATGGTATCGTATATGGTACTATTATGGTACCTCTTGATATGCTTCATGGTACCATAATATTACAATGTCACTGAAGATACGTAATATAAATATACCAAGTTTAAGCCCAATCGAACGCCATGTATCGTAATATGGTACTATATTACGGTATCACTTGATAAGCTTCATGATACCATAATATTGCAATGTCATGAAAAATACGCAAGTATATATCAAATACCGTATGATACCGAAAAAAACGGCGTCCAGTTGGCTGGGAAAAGACGATCGATGACATTTCCCATATAAATTTACACATAAAATGACAGCGATTTTCATTTCATAGCCATCGCTAACGCCGTTTTTTCCCGATCATACGGTATGAACACAATCGAACGTCAGGAAGTGGTGTCATAATAGTAGTAAGATGTAGCAAATTTGAACGTAGATTTTATCAGGAAGTATTACAATATAAATTACACAATGGCAACACTGCATAAAATTCTTTTAAATTTCGTTTGTAGAAAACTGTTTTCTTTTAAATTTATCGCCCTCTGTTATGTAGTAGTGAAACTACCGCATCAAAATAACTGATTTGGAGACAGGCTTTAAAAGCCTGTAACGAGGCTTCTGTTGCGTAGCTAGATATTCTGTGCTTAATCACACTTTTTAATTCAATTCAGTTGCAAGATGTCGCTTTTTACTCTACTTTTCAACACGCACTTTACTTTTTACCTCTCTAAGTTCCAGACAGTTCAGAGTCGGCAATTTTTATATCAAATTTTACTTTTAAAACTAATTGTTTAAGTTTTCCTTATATATTCAAATCTTCCCATTCAATTTCGAATGTCTTTTTACAATGTACAGTCTAAACCAAACCAAAAACCTAGCGACCCTGTTCAACAGGCTTTCATAAACTTTATATCTTGTGGGTATGGAGGATGGAGGACGCGCAAGCGATGTTGCAATTTTTGAAGATTGTGGATATTTAAAAGTTCTTCCAGAAAATTGCGTTATTATGGCAGACCGAGGTTTTAAACAAATTGAAACATCTCTAAGGAAAAAAAATGTACATTGATCAGACCTCCAAGTGTTGTAAGTAATGTAAAAATTACCAAGGATGACGTTCTGTTTACAAAAAGAATTGCAAGTGTGCGAATACATATTGAACGTATAATAAATCGCTTGCGACATTTTAAAATGTTAGGACCCCACTCTACTATTTCTTCAGCAATGGTTTAAAAACTAGATAACATAGTTAGTATTTTCTGTGCCATAATAAACTTACAAAAAAAAACTAACTACTACTTACAAGTAAAAACTGCATACAGTAATTTAAAAATGTTGGTTTTCCAAAAGTGTATGGCAGAGTCAATAAGACCTTTTGTAAAATCCTCATCATATTTAACGTTGATAACAGTAATTTCCTTGCCTTTGTAGTTTCAAAATTGGGGTGTGCTACGCAAAATATCCCTTTTTCAACACCTCTTGCTAACATTGGCAGATTTATTTGTGCTAAGTATTTTTTCCCTATTTCGTTATTGTTATTAACATATTGTAAAAAGGCTTTAACACCACTGGATTCAACTTGGTTATAATCAGTATTCATCGCGAGAAAGTCAAATACCATATTGACATCTACTTGCGGTAAATTATGCGAATCTCCTTTCTGGAAACCCTCCTCCATATTTAGCAACAAATACAACTTCTTTTACGGTATTCAACAACAAAAATGATAATGTAATGTTTATTTAATTTGAACGGAGCGCATAACTTCAAGATTCTCTCTTGTCAAAGGAGTTTTTTTTTGAAAAAAAAAGTTATTTAATTGGTATTATAATACTAAAACATTAATTTTTTACCGCTTTTAGTGCAAATTTTTTTAGTGAACAGACCTATGGAATGGAAGATTGACATTTTAGATATTTTTGAAAGCAACAAATGTACAAAATGTACAGGTGCTAAAACCGATATTTTTTTACAAAAAAAAAATTACCTAAATCTTTGTAAAAGAATATGCCAATTATATAAACATACCACCATTATTTCCGCCCAAATATTAATTAATTACATACTTAATTGTTGAATTGTCTTAATTTGTTGTTATAAATAAGCATTCGTCAAAAAATTGAATAAAATTTATAAGGTATTATTTTTTACCACACTGTCTAATACACATACAAAATTCAGTTTTTTTAGTATTTGGGTAATTATTAAATTAAACGAACTAAAAAGTCTTAAAAATAAACAATGCTTAACCATAACCTCAAAAATGCAGATCTCCTGTCAACTTTCTTTATTTTTTATTTATTCATTATTTTCCTAGTGACGTCACAGGTGGTATGCGCGAACTGAACGAAATTGGAGCCGCTATCGATCATACCTTGTATTCTTTGTACCATGTTTAAAAATCATCTAAAATGTCAATATTCCATGGGTCTATTGATAAAATGAGGTCTAAATTATAAGAAAATCCATTTTCTATGAAAACTTGACAAGATAGGTAAAAAAATCGACAAAATTATCATCAATTGTCAATCCCCAGCCGTCTTTGACACCATTTTTTCAATTTTTTGGTACTTTTCAATTAAAATGACAGCTTATGGCAAAATGACAATATTGGCAGCAAAAAGGAGACATTAACTTAAAATACTTTTACTTTACTTTTATTTCTCCAAAATCTGAAATATATTTTTGACACACTGTACATTACCTGCAACTGTAGACTTATTTTCCGCTGGATCATCGGGCAATTCTAAGTCCGAGTCTGGACTAGGCGAAGGTGCATTTATATCCGGAGAGGGTACAGGGCTTGGTAAATCTTCCATATGCTCTTCTAACTTTTTTTGAAATACTTTCACTCTTTGGCCAAACGTTTTGTAGGCCTGGTGAATTACAGAATATAATTAGAGCTATAAGAATAACAGATAAACCATTCAACTCACATGAGCAACCAATTTAACGTCCTTTCTGTCTGCTTCGAGTTGTGTTTCGGCTTGTTTCAGTACTGAGATCAAAGCAATTCGGTTTTTTATTTCTAACTTCAGAGCATTGATGTAATCCTCCATGTGCTGTACATATACATCCAATTCTTTTTCTACATCATCTACATGAACCCGATCTAAAATACTTTACGTTAATAAATATTAAGCATTAGAAAATTATAATACCTTTTAACGAATTTGTGAGACCCTCTGATATCTGTATCTTTGGATTATGTTCATTTAAATGTTTCAGTTTCAAGTCCGTATCTTTTTCTAAATTTGCACAGTTTTTTATCTTATTTATCACATAACTTGCCTATTAAAAGAATTAATGTAGTTCCCAATATTACAATATTAATAATATTTACTTGAAACTCATGCGGTTCATCGTTTTTAGGACCTGTAGGTTGTACACTGATTAAACCAGACAAGTCTGCTATAAAATCTTCTCCATACACGCCCCTTTGTTCCCATATCTTAAATATTCGTAAAATTTTGTGTTTGACCTTCTCATCGCTAAAATACAAACTCCATAGTACTTGGTAAGATATCACATTAAACTATGCTCTCACCGAACCAAAGTTGTAGCCTTTTGAATAGCCGTTCCCCAGCTCTCCACATAGGCATAGTTTCGCCTCTTTGAATATTGTACCACGTCATTGGCCAGGTAAAACAGAACGAGCCTTTGCTCGATTTTGACGCGTTTAACCACATTTAACCAGGAATTCACGATCTTCTTGTGGTGCTGCCTGTTCTGCAAACACCACTGGCAACAGTGGTTTATACTGTCCTGCGAGTCCTTCAGGTTCGTCAGGAGTTTCTCGAACTGGAACGCGTTAAATTCTACCTCTACTGCTGGTGCTGAAGTCCCCATTCTTTAGTCTAATCTATAACCTAAACCCACTAAAACACTATAATACAATCACTGTTCATCACATTGTTCATAAACGGCGGTGTCCTGATCACAAATAATAGATAATTAACAGGGGCAGTTGTTTTCAAACAAACCGTTCACATGTTAAACAATCAAATTTCCTAATTAAATGTGTCTAATTGATATTAAACTTGAAAATCTAGCTTCCCAAATACTTTCTGGGCGATATCAAAATCGTGAATATGAATTAGAATCCTATATAAAAGAAAATATTAAATTTTTCCGAATCAAGCCATATTCAAGCCGTCGGAAAATATCGAAATGTCATTGTTGTCATTTGTCATTCACAAAGTCATAAAATTCCTTTATTTATTCTATGGTCATAACCAGTGATATAGAGGTAGGGAGGAGAACAGAGATATGGAAGTGGTATTCCTTCTATTTCTCTGGAGGAGAATCATGAAGGCGCGCAGAAATTCTAATCATGACAGCCGCCATGTTCGCGCTTAGTTCTATAGGGGAAAATCAAAAAGTAATAGTGATTATACATACGTATTTTATAGTTTTTTAGGCGGGCATCTTTAGCAAATCTTAAATACATAGAGTAAAATGCTAAAATATTATGCCGTTTGAACAATCGCAAATAAGAATTTCTCATTAATTCATTTACACACAAATTACTTAAAAGATTTCAGAAGAATAAAAAAGCTGTTTATATCGGTCTATAAGTTCAGGAAACACAAAAATCTAAAACACTTGCCAAGCTAATCCCGAAAAATCTAGAAATTCGGAATAACAATATAGGACAAAAGACGAATATAAACTCAAACTCAAACAAATTAGAAGCTATTATGTTATTACCACAGGTTATTACTTATTGCTTTCCCCTGTAGATCTAAGCGCAAACATGGCGGGAGCCGCCGCATTCAAATCATATTTTGAAGCGCACTCGTCGAAGCACATTCCTACCCCTATATCTCCGTGTATGTGTTTTGTGCCTATATCTCTGGTCAAGACCAATTTTCTCTAAGGTCAAAACTGTCAAAAAAATGTCATTCTTTCGAATGTTTAAAAAGCCGTTGAAATTTGTTTTCTTTTTAAATGAAACAAACAAATACAAATAGACAGTACTAATTGTAGTATTTGAAAGTTTTAAGAATGTATATCAAGTCCATAGTTCTGGACGGTTTCAAGTCCTACGGACAACGAACCGAAATAACCGGATTTGATTCGATGTTTAATGCCATCACTGGTCTAAATGGCAGCGGAAAATCAAATATATTAGATTCAATCTGTTTTGTCCTGGGTATATCTAATTTAACACACGTAAGTCCCATAAAAATGCAGATTATTTGTATTTTTTTTAATTTTCTATCTTTTAGGTTAGAGCAAACAGTTTACAAGATCTCATCTACAAGAGTGGTCAAGCCGGTGTTAACAAAGCCACTGTCTCCATAACTTTCGATAACAGAAATAACACTCAATGCCCTTCTGGTTACGAAAACATCGACGAGATCGTTATTACAAGACAAATCGCCATCGGCGGCAAAAATAAATATATGATAAACGGTACGAATGTAACGAGCAAAAAAATTCAGGATTTGTTCTGTTCTATACAGCTGAACGTGAATAACCCGCACTTTCTGATTATGCAGGGACGGATCACGAAAGTTTTAAACATGAAACCGCCCGAAGTAAGTTGTGTTAATTATTTTTATAATAATTTTCCTTATAGTTTTATTTTCTGTAGATTTTATCGATGGTTGAAGAAGCTGCAGGTACTAGAATGTATGAAGTAAAGAAGCAAGCAACACAGAAGCTAATTGAGAGGAAAGATGCAAAACTCTTAGAATTTCAAGCTGTACGTAATGTAACACCTCTCATACAACACGGCCATAGTTTGTATTGAAATTATTTTTTTCCAAAAAAAGTTAAGCATCATAGTTGTGTTTTTTGATCATGGAACACAAAATATTAAAATTTTTACTGCAATTTCACAAAATTAAAAATATTTCAAGAACGGTAAGGTTTAAGTGTGACAAACCTTAATCAAATTTACCTTTATTTCAATTGTAGAACCTGAAAATAGGATAATATACAGGGTGTTCCATTTAAAAAAGTATAGCTATAATATTTTTTACTTATTTGGGACATTCTGTATCTTGAAAAAATATTTTTAAATTGTAGCTCTAATAGTCCTTCAACGAATGCAAAACTTACAATTTGTAAAAATCTAATCGTTTAGCTACAATACTCCGTGTTGTATGTGGTGAACAACCCTATATTATGTCAATTATAGATTTTTAACCTGATGGCACCTCTCAAACGACGCCGAGGCTGTATATTATAGATATAATTTATTTTTATATTGAAAACTATTAGGTCATTAGAGAGGAACTTCAACCGAAACTGGACAAACTAAAGGCAGAAAGGGAGCATTTTCTAGAGTTCCAGAGAACGGAAAGGGAACTGGAACATTTAATGGGTTTGTATCAAGTGTGGCAATATTTTGAAGCAAAACGGAATCTCATGAAGGCTGAAAAGGCGTTGGAGGATGGCGAGAACAAAGTTAGATCTATGGAAGGCCAAATCGAACAAAACAGAGTGACTATCCAGGAACTGGAAGGAGAAATTGAGAATATAACTAGTAATAATCAATCGGTATGTCATTATAATGATATTTCTTGATATATGTACAGGGTGTCCCAGAAATGAGTGCAAATATTTTAAGGGGTGGTAGATCTGGTCAAAATAAACATATTTTCTCTTTACCATTTTTAAAATAAATTGAAAATAACCGAGTTATTTAACTTTGAAAATTTAAAAAAATAATCGCAACATTTTGAGAACCGCCGGCAGATATCGCCAACTACATCCAATTACCCGGATCAAGCCCGGATTTCAGTTAATTCGACGCACTGTGTTGCCATAGGGACAAGAAAGTTATGTTAAAAGTAAGTCATAAAATCACAACACCTGAGGAGTTTGCAGAGATTCATTACATTTTTAAGATTGTGATATTATTACATAAAATAAATTAAAAGTTAAATGTTTAAAAGTTAAAAAAGTTAAATTAAAAAACTTACCCAACATTAAAAAAGATACTTATGACAGATCGATGTAACTGTGACAGTTCCCTTTTTCGATACACACTTAACTAAAATACACTTCACTGTGCTGCTTTACTTGTACATGCTATTATAACAACTGCTAAAATAACAGTCCTCATTTTTAACTTAACACATTATTTTCATATAGGCTTCATCACAATTTGAACCACTGATTTACAAAACACCTTGAAAAGCACACATTACTTTGAATACCTTTCTGAATGAATAAATGTTGAGAATTATTGTCTCTTACCGCCACTTTCCGAACTACTTTCAATCTAAGAAAATACATGTTTCACTCAACAATTTTAAATACGTATTTTGTTTTTTTGCTATTTTTTCTATGTATTTCGACAATTCCATCGACAGCCCAACCATCGACCAAGGGAGCCGCGCATCACTGGTAACTGCTCACTGCTCCTTTGTCGCGCCGCCGTGTCGAGCTTGCGTCATGCGAGGTTGCCGTAGTTTCAACAATTTCAAATTCAAGACACTCGAAGCAATCAAATTCTTATTAAATTTTAAAAATAAAACAGAAAAATATGAAAGGAAACAAACAAAACACAAATGAATTGATTATTGATAAGGTCACAAAGAAGAAATTTCTAAAATGTTTATCGTAATTCAGAACTCAATATATTGAAAACAGCCCGACGAATAATCAATTCATTTTTGTTTTGTTTGTTTCCTTTCACGTTTCTCTGTTTTATTTTTAAAATTTAATACGAATTTGATTGTTTCAAATGTTTTGAATTTGAAATTGTTGTAACTACGGCAACGTTGCTTAACATCGTCGTCTGACGCAAGCCAGCCACGACGGCGCGGCGCCTCAAAGGACCAGTTCCCATGCTGTACTCTTGGCCGATGCACAACGGTTGGGCTGTCGATGGAATTGTCGAAATACATCGAAAAAATACCGAAAAAACAAAATACGTATTTAAAATTGTTGAGTGAAACATGTATTTTCTTAGATTGAAAGTATTTATATAACATTTATTCATTCAGAAAAGTATTCAAAGTAATGTGCGCTTTTCAAGGTGTTTTGTAAATCAGTGGTTCAAATCAAACAGGGAAACATGAAAGAAAAGAAACAAAACAAAAGTGAATCGATTATTCGTTGGGCTGTTTTCCATATATTGAATTCTAAATTACGATAAACATTTTAGGAATTTATTTTTTGTGACCTGATTGTGAATAATATGATGAATCATTTTATTAAATTTATTCCAAAATAAAGTTATTTTGCAGCATAACAGAGATTTTCGTAAACGTCATAAACGTATAATGTTTTAGTTAATTTTCGGTGGTTTTTGTTAAGTTTTCATTGAAAGGGTAAGTACTAAAAATAATTAATGTGTTATTTTTTTCTATAATTATTAATAATGAGCACTGATAAAAGATTAAATTTAACATTCCTAATTTTTTGAGTAGAAATTTGTCTATGAATTTATAAATGTAGAACTAACTATGTAGAATGTGGATAACATAGGAGGTTGCAACACTGCAAGGTTTAGATACATCTTAGAGAAATCTCAGGCGAATAAACAAGTGGCACTAAAAAGTTTTTTCAAATTTCCCGGAAAATGTCAAGAAAAATTTTAAATTTTCAAAATTTTTTTTTGCAAAAAAAATCTCATAGGCGTGTTTCTGGGGTTGAACTATACTACCAGTTAAAATATTTGCACTTATTTCTGGGACACCTTGTATAACAGTTTTTTAATGAATTTTTTTCAGGAGTTTTCCAAAGAACTTTACGAATTAGAAGTTCAATTAAAGGCAAAGGAAAAACACGAAACTACTATAAATTCTTCAGTAAAGTCTATAAAGGAGAATATTTCAGTTGAAGGGAAGAAAAAGGCACAGTTGGAAAAGAGGGTTGTTAGTGACGAAAAAGCTTTGGAAACCCAGCAAAATCAACTGAATAAGGTTAAAATTTCTGTAAATAAATAATTATTGTTCAATTTTGATTGGTTTATAGGTCCAGTCGTTATTCGAGACGTTGAAAGAGAACGACAAGAGAGACAGCGAAGCTTTCTCATTGGCTGAAAGAAAATACGAGGCTGTTTGTACCGGGATGGAAGTTAACGATCAAGGGGAAAGTGAAACGCTCCTGGAGCAACTGATGAATACTAAAGAGGAAGCTTCAAAGTAATTTAACCTTTATTTGGGTGAAAATTTAATTTTTTAAATCGTGTATATTTAGGGCAAGTACGGAAAGTAAGCAGGCTTCTATGGAGCTGGTTTTCTGCCAAAACAAATTGAAGGAGATGCAGAAACAGGCGACTGCAAATTCGTCGGATTATGAGAAGGATAAAAGTGATATGGACAAAACGGAGAAGGAGGTTACACAGTTAGAAGTAAGATACTAAATATATTTTTTTAATTTTAATTGATTAACAAAAAAAAATTTGGGGTTTTCTCATAGATATACAGGGTGTTTCAATTTCTACTCTTGTTTGTTTAATTTTGCCTTTTGTTCTATTAGCCGGAGAGCTGGCGACATATTTAGAGAAGATATTTTAGGCAAGTTAGAATAACAAAAAAAAAGTTTAATAACTTGTGAACCCAGGATCCTAAGTCTGGCTGGGTGGTTGGGGGTATTTCGCTACTGCGCAACCCATAACATTTGCAAAAAAATAAATCCAAAAAACATTCTTTAGGCAACTTGAAATTTGTTTATTCTTAAATTTTAGCATCTATTTAACCTAGAAATAAGTGTGCCAGACTTTTTTTTTTCGGGTTTAAAGTGTAACCAGACCATTCCAAATATGTTTAATTATTATACCTGGAAAACATACTTTAGGCATTCTAAAATTTTTACAGCGTGTTTATTAGATGATATTAAAAAATATGTGTTAATTGCCAGACGAATTCAATGGGATTTAATACTTGCCAGACGCGAATAAAGATTTTAAATGAGCGCGATAAGAAAGTCTTATGAGTATCTATAAGCGCGAGAAAGATAGTTTATTGAGACCCGTCGGCAGCCGATGCGGCTGACGTAACAGCATTTTGGAGTACTTCAAATTTTCATAAAAATATTTTTTTTTCGGTTTCATTTCAATTATTTGCAGGCTTTTAATTCAGAGATTAGTTTGTTGGAATTAAGTTACCATGTACAAATATGTATTTATATTAATTAAATATTGATGTGCATAATGTAAATAGTTTAGAATAATTATTGCAAATAAATATTTTAGTAACTACTAATTTCGCTACTAACTACTAAATCACAATGGATAAAAAATATTTAAGTTGTGTAGTTTGTAAAAAAGTTACTAGTGACAAAGTTATTGTTTTTGATGAAGGCAGACTACAAAAATGCAAAGAATTTTTAAAAGTGCGCCAACAACATGGTTTAAAATTTAAAGAAGTGGTTTTACCAGAAAATGTAGTCCCGACAAAAGGGTACCACGTACAGTGCTAAAAAAATAAGTATTCTGGAGTTTTATTAAAGTACCATTATTAATCTTTCTAAATAGATTCAAAAGTAAGTAAAAGTGCTTTACTTTTATGCTTAGGCGTTAAAATGACTTTTTTATATTGTCAATCAGGTCGCAAAAATTAATAATAATATAATATGTCGCAAAAGTATAATAATAATTATACTTTTGTGACATCTGAAAAAAATGTATTTTATATTATGCTAATTTTTAAATAATTATTCGTCTTTTTATTCTTTCAGATACAAAATACTTAAATTAAAAAGTCTTCTTATTGAAAGGATTTCAATCACATTTTTATTAAAAAATGTTTCTTTTTATTTATGCAATATTAGTTAGTTCTTTTTTTGTTAAGTTTTTACGACTCCAAAATGCTGTTACGTCAGCATCGGCTGCCGACCGGGTCTCAATAAACTATCTTTCTCGCGCTTATAGATACTCATAAGACTTTCTTATCGGGCTCATTTAAAATCTTTATTCGCGTCTGGCAAGTATTAAATCCCATTGAATTCGTCTGGCAATTAACACATATTTTTTAATATCATCTAATAAACACGCTGTAAAAATTTTAGAATGCCTAAAGTATGTTTTCTAGGTATAATAATTAATCATATTTGGAATGGTCGGGTTACACTTTAAACCCGAAAAAAAAGTCTGGCATACTTATTTCTAGGTTAAATAGATGCTAAAATTTAAGAATAAACAAATTTCAGTTGCCTAAAGAATGTGTTTTGGATTTATTTTTTGCAAATGTTATGGGTTGCACAGTAGGAAATACCCCCAACCCCCAGCCAGACTTAGTATTCTGGGTTCACCACTTAATAAACTATACATTTTTAGTTATTCTAGCTTGCCTAAAATAGGTTCTCTAAATATGTCGTCAGCTCTTAGGCTATATTGTTATTCGGAATTTTTGTGTTTTTGAATTTAATAGAGTGATAAAAACGGTTTCTCTATTCTCATAAAAAGAATGGACTCTGCCATACTGAAAAATGGTCTTACAGAAGTGGCGCCATCTATTGAATAGGGCCTGTTTTAAATGGATCGAAGCGCGGGCTTTTTAAATGAGCGTATTTATTGAATTTTACTCTAAAATAATTAAATTTGATTATTAAATCTTATTTTTTACACAAATTCAATAGTACTAATAACAAGTATCGTTGTGATGTGTAAAAAAAAGATTTAACAGTATAATTTATACAATTATTAAATAAAATTAAAGCCAAACATGTGAAATATTATTTATTATTTAAAGTTTTTATTTATAAGTCAAATATTTAAACATCGTTTATTATAATAAAACAAGACCAACGTAATGCACCCTAAGTTTTGGAAATGGAGTAAATATAAATAGGTACTTAAATGATGGCAAAAATAAAAGACTTACATTATATAGGGCCACAAACAAAAGGAATTGTGTAATTAAAACACATATAACAAATTATAGTTTGAAAAACGTTTTGACAATCATTTGATAATATTATGACAACCATATGACAACGACAATATTTTTTGAGAATTTGACAATAGTATGACAATGGCTGTTGGAAACTATGGAAACTATAAAAAAAAATTCTGATTTAACGCCATCTGGCAATAACTAGTAGCAACTTCTTAACCTAAAAATTAATTGCACTACCACCTAGCGCCTGAGGCTGGAACTATTTTATTTGAAATTTCCGTGGAAACGGTGGAACCGCTTTTGCTATTTCCTTTGAATAAGAAGACTAAGGAAGGAGCATATCAAAAATCTTAGGTCCACCGCGATGGGCCTCAAATATGGCCGACTTAAATTGCGGTTTATCAGTGTCGTTCTAATTTTATTTAAAAAATGTAAAACTATGATGTAGGGTAGACGTGGGGTAGACTCAATAATTTGTTGTTTTATTTTACGTTGTGAATAAATGTTGGTAGGTATTAAAATTGTTATAAAAATATATAATTCTAATAAAAATAGATAAGTTATATAAGTATTTATTACCACAAACATCCGATACGCTACCGAAGCAGGTAAGTCAAATTAACGTATCTAAATTCTTTGACATCTAATCTTTGACAAGTAATAAATAAAAGCTAAAATGCAAGAAAAATATATAATTTAGTTAATTTAAGTGAATTTCATAAATGATCGGTTTACTACATGTATGTATATTACATAGTCACTTACTAGCGAAAAGTTGTTCCATTATTTCACTCAATATTTGCCGAGATCTACCGCACGCTACAGAACCAACTATTTTAGAGTCTTTTTCGATAAATCGCGATAGTGTCACTGTTAATTTAAGTGCTGCCACAATTTCCATCTAGATTTACTACCTTTATACAACTATCAGTAGTAGAATAAATAATAAATAACATAAAATAAGCTCCGTAAAACTGACAAATCCACAAAATTTCAAATCAAATTCAAATGTGTCAAATGAATCGTCAAACAGAACTGTCAAGGATCCCCACCCTAGAGAGTTTTTATGGTGGCTTTTCCGCCCACCATGCATGAATACATGGATAGCATTATGCTCCTTCCTTAGTCTTCTTATTCAAAGGCTATTTCACTTTCCCGCCCCTGTTATAACATTCTAAATAGAATGACATATATTATGTCAGTTTTTGACATATTCAATTAAAAAAAAATTGTATTTTAAATTTCAATCTAGAGCAGCGTTTCTTAACGTTTTTCAGTTCGCGGACCCCTCAAGACCAAATCAAGCACAATTTCAAGGACCCCCCTAATTTAAAAAAAAACAGAAATTTTAGTACCAGTTATTTTAGTAAAAAATTAAAAATACTTTTTTATAAAAATTAAAAATACTGTATTAATGTGAAGGTTGGTGCTGCTTTCGTTCAACTAAATTAGTAATATTCGGGTTAATGTTTTTACTTAGTCGTAATCTTAAATCGGATTCTAATTGTAATCTATTTCTGTATGTTTTTTTGATGTATATGTTACAGTGAAAGTTGGAAATTCAGTGATTGTTAACATTCACTAGGAAATGCTAACAATTACGCATTGGACCAGGGAATGTGGTATTTTAAAGAGATTTGTCGACTTTTCCTAGTAATTTCTAACATTCACTAGTGAAAGTAAGATTTACTAAAGGTTGCCAATAAAAAGTTATTCTATTGTACAGGGTGGGTCAAATTCGACGCTTTTAAATGGAAACACCCTTTTCTATAATAGAAAGACTTAAACGTGAATAATATCAAAAAGCACTAACATAAAATAAAAATTCACAAGATACAAACCACAGATATTAAAATTCACAAAACATTTAGTCAAAATCTGTGCGACAAGAACTCGTCAAAAGAGTAAAATGCGTTTTTTAACAAGAATCTCCCTCAGTTTTCATCCAAAAATATGTAAGGTAGGGTGAAAACCGCACAACAATATCTGTTACCGTTAATGGCCCAGTTCCTGGTCCATTTTTCAAAAAATGTGCATTTTTTAACAAATCAGATGTAATTTTTTTACTATGTCAAAACTTTGTATTTCTATGAAAACATTTCCAGATGCTCAGCACCTTTTACGTGCAATTTAATGGTTTCAAAGTATACAGGGGTGTTTTTAAAATTAATAATTTAAGAGTTATTAACAGAAAAATTGAGTTCAATTTGGGACACCCGCCTATGTTTTTAATTAACTGAAAAAAAATTTAAAATTTACCTTTTCAAAAAACATAGCACATTTGATATTTTGTTTAGTAATCCCCTTCGAAATACAGATTTTTAAAAGTTCGCTACGATGTATTTAACTAGTAGTGTTGCAGAATATCTATGTTACGCAACAGATTCTACATAGTTCTACATGTATAAAATTAGGTAGAAAGGAATTTCTACTTTAAAAGTCTGTAGGAAAATCAAATATTTTGATGTGCTAGTTTATTACTACATAATAGAGGGCAATAAATTTAAAAGAA